ACCACTTCATTTTTTCGATGTCCGAACAAGCACCGAAGCCGAACACAATGGCAGATGTCCTTTCAATGTTGCCAGACAAGCGCCCAGTTCAAATTCAAATTTTGAATTTGAAAGCTCATCTGACAAACACCGTTAAGACTCTCCAAAGTAGTCTTATGGAAGAGATGAAGGGACTTAAAGGTGAGTTCCTCATGAACCAAGCTTCCAATGAGAAAGTCCTGAACGATTTGACGGAAACCTTGCGCATTTACGCGAGAGAGAACCGAGACCTTGCCAGACTCATCTACCGTTTCTTCGAAGAGATAGACGCCATCTGGAAGGTACTCGGAAAGGACAGAACCTCCAACACCGTACTTCGTGAACACAGAATTGCCGAAGGAATTGTCGAGGAAGAAGAGAAACACGAAGAAGAGGAAGAGGAAGAAGAGGAAGAAGAGAAACACGAAGAAGAGGAAGTTTGGGCAACCCTTGTTGCCGATGACACTTACGAAATTTCCCAACCCTACCCATACCAAATCCGCAACAAGGAGACCGGCAAGGTTCTTACCCCAGTTCTCAACAACTTGGGACACTTGAACCTTACCCTTCGGAATTACGGTTCAATCTCCATGGGCAAGCTTGTCGCAATTCAATGGGTTCCAAATCCAAACAAGAGACGAAGGTCAGACACATTGACGGTGACAAGCTCAACAACCGTAAGGAGAACCTCGAGTGGTTCTAAGAGTAAAAAAATTTTATTTTAGGGGGAAACCCCGAGTAAATTTAGGTGTTTATTTAGTTAAGTAGCTTAAATTAAGGAATTTGGACAAGTAGTTCCTGACCTCTGAATTGGACTCTTTCGTCATCCCAGTTGCGTAGGAGGTCGTCCCAGAGGAGTTGGTAGAATTGCCAATTCCAAGGACGATTTGTCCTCCCAGGCATTGAGGATGTACTGCTCGTAGAGTCTCATGACCTCTGCCTTGCACCAGACACCCTCTCCCTTGGAACGTAAGGCTTCTTCGAAGTGCTCGAATGCGATTGGCTGCGGACCATCTGAAATGACACTTTTTGTCCGTTTGGTCAATGTTTCGTGTCTCGTGCCATAGTCGACGAAAATACAAACAAACAGGTTATATATGAGTTTGAGACCAAGAATGGTGTAACTCGACCTGTCCGATTCAAATTCGAATAAAAATTTTTTACTTCATGCAATGTTTTATTTCTGTGCCGTCTTCAAGTATGCCCCAGTACTTACGCTTGGAGAGGACATGAACTTCGGTGAAAATTTTGTCCAATTTGAATTGACCCATCTTTTCACCGACCATTCCCATTTCAATGAGTTTGTTGTATCCTTCTTCGTTCGTCATGAGTGCGTCAATGTTCTCATAGTAAACCTTCACTTTGGATTTGACTTCGGAGAAGAATTTGTTGTAGTTGTCAAGGACTGCCTTTGCGAACTGAGGGTAAGACCAATGTTCGACAATAGGTTTTAATGTGGTTACTAAGCCACTTTGACCTTGAGTGAATTCGTACTTCAAAACAAAAGGAGAAAACCTTTCAACAAAGTTGTCGACCTTCTCATAATGTTTACTCTTCATCTTTGAGGTTTCTTAATGGAATATCCCCATGTCGAATTCATAAGCAATTTGAGTGTCATTGCAAGTTTGGGGTTTGAAGCTTTCCTAATATCATACAGTTGTTGTATGACTTTTCCAACTGTATAGTTCCTTCCTGGGAACTCACCGTCTTCGTTTGGAATTCCAGTCGGGATATATTGGACGAACCTCATGTATGCAGCGTTAAGGTCGACATAGTATATCTTTTCATTGAGTCGAACTTGTCGCAACCAATGGGTCCAGTTCGTGGAAATTCAAGTGAGTCTCTTATCTTCTGAGAAACTTCGCCTGCTATCTCATAAACATCGTCGAAGCAACCTGTTTCATATAAAACCTTCTGACCTAACTCAGATGCTCTCCAATACAATTTGACGTCAATTGGATGTCTCAATGGAAGTTTGTTTATAGCATCTTGAAGTTCTTGCAACCTCATTGGAAGTTCTTCTGGTTCAGGTTGGTATCCGAACAATCCAACTCCTTTTGGAACTGTGTACTTTCTTTTGTACTAGAACTTTGTCTGGAACAACTTTTTGGTCTTGCTAACAGTGAAAAGTTTGTTTCGTCTTTTGGTACAAAAGTTTCTGTCAGCTTGTCATCTGGAATTGTTCCAACAAACCTTTCTCGAAAAGAATGTTTACAGCTCTGACAATGTTGCACTTGCCTTTTCCGAACAATGGGTTTGTAAGACTTTCGTTCAACATGAAGTGGTTGTGGACAATTGCAATCTTCAACCATGGTAAATTGAACTCAACAACATAGTCCGTCATGTGAAGAAACCTTTAGCTGTAGGTATGTTGACTCGGATATTGACATTTGCCAACGGTGCAATTTTTGCCAATTGACCTCTGAGAATGTACCTTGTCTTCACACATGACTCAAGATACTTCATCTTCTCATCTGTAACAAGACCAGAGTTCCTGAGACATGTAAGAAATGCAAGGTTCATTGACAATTGTTTCAATTGAATTGTAAATTCCATCCTTGTCAAGTCAATGTCAGACTTATTTATGAACGGGAAGTATCCAGCATGTTGTCTGACTGCTTGAGGGTTAGGTTGGTACCATTCGAACTTGACACTTGCAATTCCTTCAATTGCATTCAAAATGTCTGAGTCGGAGTCAACCATTTGTTCTCTCTTTGTAGTCTTGAAAGCGTCAAGAAGCATTGCAGCTGTTGTGACATTGCCATGTGCATAGTAAATGTGACCATCCAAATCTGTTACGGTTAGTCTGAGATTGTATCCTTTCTTATTTCCATCTTGAATTGCAGCAAGTACACCCATGAAGCCTTCTTTGTTCTTTCCATCGTCAAAGTTTACTGTAAAGGTTTGACCAGATGTAATTTTACTTCTAACTTCACGATACTTCTCATATGCATATCTGTTCTTTCCATGGGAGCATGTCGCTCTTCACCTTTTCCTTTTTTCCTCCTCAAAGGATGCAATTGTTCGTCATGTTTCCAGTAGAACCTGGCAAAGCCGTCGTGTCCTTCAACTTGAGGTTCACTAACATCGAAAGGCATGTCCATAAGACGTTCTTCTTCTAACCTCTCTAGTCTGTTTTGGATAATTTGCGCGTGCTGTTTCCAAGTCCATTTCATAGCGAAGACCAGACAATTTGTCATAGACTTTTATGGGTCTTCCCTTCCTATATTTAAACTTCTTTGAAACTTTCCAACCATATCTTTCTAACTCTGCTTTTATTCTAGCAGATTTTCTATCCATTCTATATGGGGGCATTTCTATAAAAATAAAAAAAATATTTTTTCTTTACTTTACATAACGCCTGCTGCCAAAAGTCTTTGACGCCAACCCATACCAGCTAATGAAGGTTGACTTGGTTTAGTTTGGAAACTAACCTTTGGTTTTGGTTTATCTTCAGTTTTTGGCTCACTTCTTCTATCGGTTTTTCGTCACTTTTTGGTTCACCTGACTTTACTTCACTTGCAGGTATGGTTGTGTCGTCAACATCTTCATAAATATCATATGCCATTTGTTTTGTTTTTCCTTTCAACTTTTTGTGTTTGTTGTAAAGTTTAGAATATTTTGACTCTAAGTCAATGAGATGTTCTATAATGAACTGTTGGTCAGTGAAGAATACCTTCCCATCTGTTGTCTCGAAAGCTCCTTCAGACTTCAATATTTTATTTGTGAGAGTCTGTTTCTTTTTGAGATACTTGCCGTTCCATTTCTATGAAAAGTGACTTTGTAGTTAGGGTTTGTATTTCCAGACCTGGCACTTTCTATTATTGAATTTTTCTCTTCATCTGTAAGTTCTTTGACAGGTTTTGACAATGGTTCTGAACTTTTTGTTTGTGGTGTCAAATCTACCGTTTCAACTTCTTCGGTCATTTCATCTCAGTAAAAAATTTTAGTTTGGTTTGTTTTCAACTGGTTGTTTAGGTTTTTTAAGTCGGTCTAAAACTTCCTGAGGTATAGGAAGAACTTGACAAACACGTGGTTGTGTAACTGCTGGAAGTCGACAAATCCATCTTGAACCCATTTGTCTCAATGCTGTATTGTTCATTTCATCTCAGTAAAAAATTTTACATTCCCCAAGTTTGAGGTGGTTGCGGTTGGTTATTGTTTACCCACTGTTGTGCATGGTTATATCCTCTGTTAAAGAATCTTTCACCTTGGTCCATGTAGTGCCCTGCTTGGTTATAGTAGTCATTTGCTTTGTTATAGTAGTTTCCTGCTTCTCTTCCTACATTGTCCATCCATCCTTGAACTTTTCCTCTTGTTTCAGGATTTGGAATAAGATTTGCTGCATCTCGTGCTACCTCCCAACCTTTCTGTACAGTTTGTATAATAGGTTGTGCTTTCTCTTTAAGTATACCTAATGTACTCAAAATCTTCCTTCCAATTCCAAATGCACCTCTGGCTATTGTTCCCACTGCGGGCAAAAAATCTGGATGCAACTCCTGCTAATGCGCCAAATAAACCCATTTCTTATGGGTTAAAAAATGACGAATCCAAACAAGGACCCCTATGTTTCTAAAGCGACAAAGAAAGCACTCATGATAAAAATCTTTAGTTCAACACCAAATGCTTGGTTTATGGATATCTTGGAAAACATTCCGAGGTATAGAGAAGATGGACCTCCATACTGGCTAATATTTGTCGGTCAAAACACAAGATACTGTGAAGCCATACCATTACAGTCCAAAAATATTTTAGATGTGAAAACTGCTTTGACAATATTCGTTGACAAATACCATCCAACTAAACTGACATCTGACTGTGAAAGTTCTTTCAAATCAGACGATATTAAAAACTATCTGCGTTCAAAAAATGTAAACCAATATTTCATTGTCGACCAAAACCATTCTGCTCTTGGTGTCATTGACAGTTGTATAAAAATCTTAAGAGACTTAAACCAACCACAAGGTGGTGAAGCAAATGAAATGTCATATGATGACAAATATAGACATTTCTCCATGGCAAAGATGAGACAAGTTTTAAATATTTACAATACCCGTAAACAAAAAGGTTTGGGAAACCACTCCCCCGAAGAAATGAAAAACAACCCCGACTTAGAGAAAGACTATATATTTAATAGTTTAGTCAAAAGAGACAAACAAGAAAGAATGCCAGGCTTCAAACTTAAGAAAGGTGACAAAGTAAAAATAGAAATACCTAAACGCGACCCATATGAAAATACTATTGACTATGACAACAATGGGAACTCGACAGGTACTCGCATTCGTGTTCGTAAAAATAGAAGAAAGTATACAAGAGAATATTATGAAGTTTTAGGCAAACATGGCAAAATGTACAGACTGCAAGCAGAAGATAAAACTACTATTGTCAGACCTCGTTTCAAACTTGTCAAAGTTCAAGGTGGTATACTTTCAAAGACAGTTCCTAACAAATATAAGACAACTCCAGACGAATATGCTAAAGAAGTTGAAAATGACGACTAAGCAATTCTATACCATGCGTAAACTGTCATGTAAGGTGGCATGTAGTCTTTACTTTGTCCCGTTGTTTGTGTATATCCTGTAACGCGATGTGTATGGTTTCCATCTCCCTGAGTGTCACTCCAGTAACAATTTATAGCAAACTGAACGTCGTCTTTAACATCATATCCTTTACCTTTTTTCAAGGCGTGCCAATCCCAAAATTTATGCTTATGCCAACCTGCTTGAGATGTACTTAAATCTACGTAGTGACTGTGTGCAGGTAAATTTTCACCTGAAATCGTTTTACTTCCACCTGTTTCCTTTGAAGAGTTTGCACAATACAAAAACCTGTCGACTATTTGAGTCCAAGTTCCAAAACCCAGAACTGTTTCTGGTCTGGTAGAGTTCATTGACGTATAAATAGAGCCTATAGGATATACTGTTTGAAGTATTTCTGTCTTTAACGTTTGAAGCTCTGTTTTGTCAGCTTTTTTATCTAACTCATCGTTAACATATGTTTTGTCAGCTTTTTTATCATATAAATCTTGAGCAGTGAATTTAACTTTGTTTTCATCCTCCATGACATAGACATTTCTACATCTAATGTATCTCATCGTTGTTATGTCTTCTTCCGATGTTAAACCTTGTGGAAAGTTAGGAGGTTTCCAATTTAATACATCCCCACCAGTTTCTTCAACCGTTCCTTCAATATTTTCTATACCAACAGTTGCGAAGAAATCGTGTGTATGTCCAACGTCACTTTTCCTGTTTAAGGTTTCTTGTAAGTTTGTAATATCAGATATGGTATGTGTATGAGTCTTTTTAGAATATTCTTTGTCAGCTCTTGTCACTTCACTTGACATTTTATTGTCAACATATGTTTTATCTGCTTTGTCATCTAACATTGCTGGTAGTTCATCTACGTCATAGATGTTATGTGTATGATGTTTTTGTGGGTATGTTCTATCTGTCCATGCGAGAATATAGTCTCTTGTTGCATCTACATATTCTTTGTCAGCTTTGTTGTCAATATCTGCTTTCAAAAGAAGTTCATTTATAGGTTTCTCGTTTAAAGTTCCTTTTGTTGGATTTATACAGACAGTATGGTTCTTATTGTCTTGAAACAGAAACTCATCTGTCATTGGGTTTAATGTCAGTTTTAAGTTTCCTTCTTTCAATGACTCAGATATCTTAGAATAGTTTGAAAAGTTTGTTGTGTTCTTATTTAGAGCTTGCATAATGAGTTGTCGGTTGTGTTGTATTTCTCTCATAGACGCTGTTTCATTTGACATTTTTATTCTAGATAAAATATGCTTCCAATAGAAAAAGAAAATTCAAGAGTTGCTACAACTAAACCATTAGATGAACTTTTTACTAATGTCGGTCAAAAGTTTGAGACAGAGACCGTAAAGCATGAAGGCTATCGTTTTGACTACCCGTTAAGATGGTTAAGAGACCCATCTGTCACAAAAGCTATTGGCTTTCGTAGAATGAAGTTTGTGTCTGTAGAAGATAAAAGTTTTCCATTTATTGTAAGGTTTCATATAGATTATATATCTGAAGGGAAACGAAAAATTGGGAAGAAATTGAGCTAATACAAGTTGACCTTTCATCTTCTCTACAGACTGCGTTAAAAAATATAGAAGATAAAATAAATTCATGTTATGCAAAATATGCTGATGAATATGCAAATACCGAGAGCACACTTTATGTGAGAATTGTATATGACAAACAAAATTCACAAGTGTCATTTCAAATCTACGAAGACAATCCAAAGAAAGACGAACAAATATATACAGAATTCACTGCAATGTCATGGTATTATTTGCAAAGAATGTTAAATCAGAAAGTCGAACTTCCTTTAGCAAATATTTACAGTCGATATGCAAGAGATGAACCATATTTATTTAAAGATGTTTTCGACCCAGCTGCTATTATTGTTCATGCTTCATTTTCTGGCGCTCAAAACTCTTTCTTATGCTTGGCAAATGACTTTTACGAAAAACCTACAAAGCTATATGAACCACCAAGTGGAAGTATTTCAGACTTTCAAGTATGGTTTACTACAGATGGAAGAAAGAGAATAATTCCATTATACCATGCGTTTTACTTAGAACTTAGTTTCATATACAACTACTATCGAACGGTAAAAATATAATTTTTTAATACGGTTGAGGTGTTGGATTTGGTTGCCAACTAGACTGTGGTGCAGGTTCAGGCTGTTGTATAACAGGAGCTTGTTCTTCTGGTTCAGGGTCTTTAGGTATAATACCAACAAACTGACCTACCCTTTTACCAATATTTTTGACTCCGTTCCAAATTCCTCTTCCTACGGTTTTTATTCCATTCCATATACCTCTTCCAACATTTCGAAAGAAGTTTCCAATACTACTGAAGAAACCCATTTTACTATATGTAAAAATCTAATGTCCGCCTAGTCTCTTACGTTTCCTGTTGAGTTCCATAGCATTCTTTAACTGGAGCTCATACATTCTGTTTCTCCTCTGGTAGAAAACATATTCTGGGTCAACTCCTGTGTTCGCGTCATCTGCATAAAGTTGTTTATATCCCACTTCAGGGTTTGTATAAAACTCTTTCCATCTCATATTTGCATACCATGGTGGCAAACCTAACGCAGCGTCATTTGACATGGCAGTTTGCATTTGTACATCTGTTGGCACTTGACCATAGTTTGCCATTGCAGTTTGTATTCTAACTTCATTTGGAATATTCTCTGGGTTTGGTTGTCCAGGTTGCTGTGCATTCGCTAAGTTCTGTGCGTCCATTTAATATTAGATAAAAATATCTCTTACGAGTACATATACTGAACATTTGCAGGCATTGGTTCATCTTCATATTCTCTATATCTTTCTGCCACGTCAAATAAATAAATGACACAATGGAAAAAACCTAAAACAAGTAGTCCTATTTCAAACCACATTTACTTACCAATAAAATTTCTTTATTGTGACACTTTCTCCAGTTTATAGGACCTCTCTCATATTCTATCTTGTCATATCTAAACTCATAGTCATGTATGTCCTCTAACCATCTCATAACGGTTTCCAAACCACTTTTATCGGATGTAAAGTAAAAGCATGGATGGTTATGTAAAACGTCTAAAGTTTCTAAAGAGTCTCTCAAAGTCCAGTCTACTTGGTATTGAAAATCCCATGTGTTATAGAACGGTGGGTCCACCATAAAGAAAACATTTTCCTTGTCTTTATATTTTTCATACAACTCTGTCCAATGACATCTCACAAACTCTATACCCTCAATATATTTTTCTATGTCCTCTTTGAAAACATTTGTATAGTTGAGATATAAAACTTTTGACATAAGTGTTTCAATGTCATGAACTCTTATAGCACCACTATATAATAGTCTAGCAGATATACTATCCCAGTCTATATATTCTGCTTTTTTCAAAACCTCTCTCACAATATTTTTCTTATCTAATGGTATACGTTCCATCTTACCTATAGGTATCTTTTCTTTTAACTCTTTCAATATTTTGTTAGTGTCTGGAATATGTTTGAGACGGTTCATATAGTTGTCGAAGTCATTGCATATAATCTTTGAGTCAGGAAATACAGTATGGCACAAATGGGATATATAGAAACTTCCACCGAACAAATCTACAAATGTTAGACCATTCGGTAGTTTCTTAAGTTCTCTCAATATAATATCTTTACATTTACTCTTATTTCCAAAGAACGGTAACGGAGGTTTTGTAAAATTCATTTATATATAATAATAAAAATGTTTTTTCCTGAAAAGTGACAGAAAAGTGACAAAACATGTACGAAGAAGTCTTGAAAATTCAAGAGGGTAGAAAAGAGGTTAGAAAAGAGGTTATATCTAACCTTCTACCCTAAACATTATTTTTGTCTGATTTTACGAAGAAGTCTTGACAAAACATGAAAACATATATAATTTGTGAAAAGCTCCTGGAAGACCCGTATATAAGAACTTCATTTATACTAAACATCTTCGGGGCTAGAGGGCACGAAGTGCCTGGAAGCCCCACTACCTTTTTTTTTTTTTTTTTTTTTTTTTTTTTTTAATTTATTCCGCACAAGCAATTATAAAATTTTTATTTTAAATAATGATTCAATCGAAGAATTATCGTGATATATTATATCAACATAAGTCATATTATATATATATCATATTCTTATTTTGATGTTGTGAATGAATTTATACATCCGAAAAGATGTCCAATGGTAATCCTGGTGCCATACCAGCAGCTATTCAAGCCATACCTAGCGGAAATAATAATAACCCAGCAATAGTTGCTTTACAAAATCGATTTTATGACATTATCAAAGATTTATTAGGAACCGAATCTTTTGCAATTTTGTTTTATTTCCTCTTTCACTGGATTGAAATTGTCTAAATCTGAGTATCGAGTCATAATTCTATGACCGTCAGGTCCAGGGAAAAACCCAATACGAAAATCATCTTCGAACTGAATATATTTTGAAAATCCACTCAAAAACATAATGATTTGATATGGTGCTTTATGCTTAATAAGATATGGTAATATTAATTTCTCTATAATTAATCCGAGCTCAATAACAGTTTCATAATCATAACCGAATGAATGAGGAAAGGGACAAATGAGGATTATATAAATTGCGCCTTGCGCGATTAGATCAAAATCTGTTTCATTAAATTCGATTCCTCTTGTGAGAATTACGAAGATTAAATAGTGAAGTTCAACTCCTTTATATTCTTCGACTTCTTTTGCTTTGGTTTTTAAATAATTGATGATGTATTGTGGAAGGTTAACATCATACATATATGAATTGAGGTAAGGAATATATGTCTTTTCCACGTATTTAGAAAATTTGATTTCGTTTTGTTTGTCAGAACTAACAAAAGGGCGAATTACTTCTGACATCACTGTACAAAGTAAATCAGATAAGTTGGCGTCCTAAAGCGTCCTAACGTAAATTTCTCAAAATTGTGATATTTACATCACATTTTTGAGAGGTTTATGGGCGTCCTAAGGGAAAATTGAATGCTTGCGTCCCGAATCTTCATTCTAAGATTTAAATATATTATATAATTAAGTATAATATAAGCAATATAAAAATTCAATTTTTATTATTTTAACTTAAAAGAAAATTTTTTCAATAATGGTTGATTTATTGTAATCTTTCCAGACTAAGGAAAAAGTGGCATACGTCGGAAAAATGGGCAAACGCTGACACACTCAGAAGTTTACATATCGTTGATGTAAAGTTATATTTTGGCAAAAATTAATCTTGTAAAAATAATATTGCAAAATATTTTTGATAACTTGTAAAAAAATGTAAACTCCAGAATACACAATAATATATTATTTGGATACTATATATAGTTACAAATATTATTGCCACTCAAAAAATCACGATTTCAATTTTTCTCGAAATCTAGCCTTGAAATGTATATTAATTTTACTAAATATAAGCATTATATTAAATGCTAACGGACTTTTTACTATCCTCCCTATTAAACATGTATATATATATATATATATATTCCTCCAAAGTTCTTTCAATTTCATTGAAAGGGAGGAAAATACTTAAGGAACAATAAGAATATATGAGCTTTATAACATGCCTATTTTAGTTTTTGTTTGGCCGCGAAATTTGAGCCTTCTAGGCTCAAATTTGGCGGAAAATTTTAGCAAAATGTTAGTCACTTTTCCTTTTTTTATTTGGGGCGAGCTTGCGAGCCCCAATTAAAAACAGTAAAATGAGCTCACATTTTGAAACAAGTTTAGTGACTTTTGCATTGAAAATGCAAAAGTGACTAAACTTTTCTAAAAGTATTGCCCAAAATGCAAAAGAATTGCCCAAACCGACATGCTTAGACCACCTTTTGGCAATTGCGACATGCTTAATGAAATACCATTATTCTGAGAAATTACCAGTTTCTTTGAAATATTTGTACTAAGTTGAAAGTTTTTGAGAATATAAATCATTGTTTTGGAAACTATTTTTGCTACTTTTCAGCATTTTTGGGTGAAAAATTCGTAAAAGTGTCAAAATTTTAAAAATTTTCTCCATATGTCTCTTCAAGCAATGAAGGCATACTTATCTGATTTACTTTGTACAGTGATGTCAGAAGTAATTCGCCCTTTTGTTAGTTCTGACAAACAAAACGAAATCAAATTTTCTAAATACGTGGAAAAGACATATATTCCTTACCTCAATTCATATATGTATGATGTTAACCTTCCACAATACATCATCAATTATTTAAAAACCAAAGCAAAAGAAGTCGAAGAATATAAAGGAGTTGAACTTCACTATTTAATCTTCGTAATTCTCACAAGAGGAATCGAATTTAATGAAACAGATTTTGATCTAATCGCGCAAGGCGCAATTTATATAATCCTCATTTGTCCCTTTCCTCATTCATTCGGTTATGATTATGAAACTGTTATTGAGCTCGGATTAATTATAGAGAAATTAATATTACCATATCTTATTAAGCATAAAGCACCATATCAAATCATTATGTTTTTGAGTGGATTTTCAAAATATATTCAGTTCGAAGATGATTTTCGTATTGGGTTTTTCCCTGGACCTGACGGTCATAGAATTATGACTCGATACTCAGATTTAGACAATTTCAATCCAGTGAAAGAGGAAATAAAACAAAATTGCAAAAAATTATGCTATAATATGCTAATTAAAAATTACAATTGATTTATGATAAAATTTATTAAAAAGATTGGGTAGTGTTATAACTTGAATATAATGAAAACCTTAACGTTGTCACCACTGTCTTTAGCTTTGAGAAGGACTTTGGACTGATGACCTTCCACATAGCATTTTGGAGCACAAGAAACCATATACTTGCATCATGCAGCATGTTACGTTCTAAGATGCCTTATTTTGTTGCTATTTTTCTGATATCTATTCTGACCAAACTTATCGATTAATAATTATAGTAATGACTTCATATTGCAGGATAAACAACCACTGCAGCATCCCATCCATCACTATTTTCTAGAAATCTGTTAAAAAATTAATTGAATTTTCTAATCATAATTTTTTCTTTCAAGCCTATAGTCAAAACCAAAAGTGGTAAATTAGGTAGCACATGAGTATATTATTTCGGCGTCGTGGAAATTTTAGCGTGTGAAACTCGCTACTTTGTTTGATGAAAGGTTGTAAAACTCTTAACCTTAAATTTTTTTTGGACATTCTGGAGGAATACTGATCGAGCAGGTTTGGAGTCTCCCTCCAGGTGAGGAACATACAAACGAGAGAAGTGTTTAACACTTCATAAAGTATCTTTTTGATATGGTTAGATATATAGTTTTACTTAATGGAAAGAATTAAATTGCGTTAAAGTAAAAAATGGAGTTATGAACTCATTTCGATATAAGATGCTTTGTTATCATATATAGTAAATGTTTTTATTCAAATTAAGCTTAGTTAGATTATAATTAAAAATTGGCAATTCCGATTCGCTTTTATTTTGGAGGGTATATGCGCATCATGAAGCTGGTAAAGTGGTTCGATGGGTTTGCAAATCTGTCCGTACAATTTTTCAAAACAATTTGTAATTTCCTTTTGAATAGATAATTAGTATAGCTTGTAATGTAATTAAAGTCATTTGGTCTTAGTAAATGAAAATAAAGTTGATTCAAGTTGATTAATTTTGATTTTGATGCGAGAAGTGGTGTCCTGATCAGCTTTTAAGCCAAAATAACATAATTTGATATGTAGAATACTGTGCAAAAAAAAAAGGTAGTGGGGCTTCCAGGCACTTCGTGCCCTCTAGCCCCGAAGATGTTTAGTATAAATGAAGTTTTTATTCGGAAAATTGTTAGTCTTCTGGTGTGAATTCGGAGGACTCTTCTTCTTCCTCCATTGCTTCTGGGAAGAAGCCTTCTTCTGGGTCGAAAACATTATATAATGTGTCGCTTTTCACAAATTATATATGTTTTCATGTTTTGTCACTTTTCTGTCACTTTCAGGAAAAAAACATTTTTATTATTATATATAAATGAATTTTACAAAACCACCGTTACCGTTCTTTGGAAATAAGAGTAAATGTAAAGATATTATATTGAGAGAACTTAAGAAACTACCGAATGGTCTAACATTTGTAGATTTGTTCGGTGGAAGTTTCTATATATCCCATTTGTGCCATACAATATTCCCAGACTCAAAGATTATATGCAATGACTTCGACAACTATATGGACCGTCTCAAACATATACCAGACACAAACAATATATTGAAAGAGTTAAAAGAAAAGATACCTATAGGTAAGATGGAACGTATACCATTAGATAAGAAAAATATTGTGAGAGAGGTTTTGAAAAAAGCAGAATATATAGACTGGGATAGTATATCTGCTAGACTATTATATAGTGGTTCTATAAGAGTTCATGACATTGAAACACTTATGTCAAAAGTTTTATATCTTAACTATACAAATGTTTTCAAAGAGGACATAGAAAAATATATTGAGGGTATAGAGTTTGTGAGATGTTATTGGACAGAGTTGTATGAAAAATATAAAGACAAGGAAAATGTTTTCTTTATAGTGGACCCGCCGTTCTATAACACATGGGATTTTCAATACCAAGTAGACTGGACTTTGAGAGACTCTTTAGAAACTTTAGACGTTTTACATAACCATCCATGCTTTTACTTTACATCCGATAAAAGTGGTTTGGAAACCGTTATGAGATGGTTAGAGGACATACATGACTATGAGTTTATATATGACAAGATAGAATATGAGAGAGGTCCTATAAACCGGAGAAAGTGTCATAACAAAGAAATTTTATTAGTAAGTAAATGTGGTTTGAAATAGGACTACTTGTTTTAGGTTTTTTCCATTGTGTCATTTATTTCTTTGACGTGGCAGAAAGATATAGAGAATATGAAGATGAACCAATGCCTGCAAATGTTCAGTATATGTACTCGTAAGAGATATTTTTATCTAATATTAAATGGACGCACAGAACTTAGCGAATGCACAGCAACCTGGACAACCAAACCCAGAGAATATTCCAAATGAAGTTAGAATACAAACTGCAATAGCAAACTATGGTCAAGTGCCAACAGATGTACAAATGCAAACTGCCATGTCAAATGACGCTGCGTTAGGTTTGCCACCATGGTATGCAAATATGAGATGGAAAGAGTTTTATACAAACCCTGAGGTGGGATATAAACAACTTTATGCAGATGACGCGAACACAGGAGTTGACCCAGAATATGTTTTCTACCAGAGGAGAAACAGAATGTATGAGCTCCAGTTAAAGAATGCTATGGAACTCAACAGGAAACGTAAGAGACTAGGCGGACATTAGATTTTTACATATAGTAAAATGGGTTTCTTCAGTAAGATAGGAAACTTCTTTCGAAATGTTGGAAGAGGTATATGGAATGGAATAAAAACCGTAGGAAGAGGAATTTGGAACGGAGTCAAAAATATTGGTAAAAGGGTAGGTCAGTTTGTTGGTATTATACCTAAAGACCCTGAACCAGAAGAACAAGCTCCTGTTATACAACAGCCTGAACCTGCACCACAGTCTAGTTGGCAACCAAATCCAACACCTCAACCGTATTAAAAAATTATATTTTTACCGTTCGATAGTAGTTGTATATGAAACTAAGTTCTAAGTAAAACGCATGGTATAATGGAATTATTCTTTTTCTTCCATCTGTAGTAAACCATACTTGAAAGTCTGAAATACTTCCACTTGGTGGTTCGTATAACTTTGTAGGTTTTTCGTAAAAGTCATTTGCCAAGCATAAGAAAGAGTTTTGGGCGCCAGAAAATGAAGCATGAACAATAATAGCATCTTGGTCGAAAACATTTCATATGTTCCATTAGGGTTTTCGACTTCATAAAAGTCTGGGTGTACTGGATATGCTGCAGGCTGATTTAACATCCTCAAAAATCTATACCATGCCAAGTTGTTATATTTTGTAGAAATATAAACGTTTTCTCCAAGGTCTTCTATTCTATTGATTTTAACAGTTGCATTTTTCCTGTCATAAATAATATCGAGATGGTACTCTCCCTCGTCAATGTTATACTGTTTTGCATATTCGATATAGATATTGTTTTATTTTTTCTTGAAAAGCTTGAAGAGTTGTTTCTAAGTTTACAAGCAAACTAACTTGAAAAGTTTTCCCTGTTCAAATTTCTCATACATACGTTTTTCTTTGTTATAGTATCGAACTTCAAAACCGACCGTAAATGGGAAACCATGTATGGCTTCTGAAATGAACTTCATTCTACGAAAGCCAATAGCTTTTGTGACAGATGGGTCTCTTAGCCATCTTAATGGGTAGTCAAAACGATAGCCTTCATGCTTTACGGTCTCTGTCTCAAACTTTTGACCGACATTAGTAAAAAGTTCATCTAATGGTTTAGTTGTAGCAACTCTTGAATTTTCTTTTTCTATTGGAAGCATATTTTATCTAGAATAAAAATGTCGAAAGATATTGCTTCCATGAGAGAAATACAACACAACCGACAACTCATTGTGCAAGCTCTAAATAAGAACACAACAAACTTTTCAAACTATTCTAAGATATCTGAGTCATTGAAAGGGGGTGACTTAAAACTGACAATAAACCCAATGACAGATGAGTTTCTGTTTCAAGACAATAAGAACCATACTGTCTGTATAAATCCAACAAAAGGAACTTTAAACGAGAAACCTATAAATGAACTTCTTTTGAAAGCAGATATTGACAACAAAGCTGACAAAGAATATGTAGACGATGCAATAGCAAAAGAAGAAGAAAGAGCTAACAATGCTTATGCAACAAAAGAACATACTCATCCTGAACTAGCAGACAAAACATATGTTGACAATAAAATGTCAAGTGAAGTGACAAGAGCTGAAAACGAATATTCTAAAAAGACTCATATACATTCTATATCTGATATTACAAACTTACAAGAAACCTTAAACAGTAAAAGTGCCGTTGGACATACACATACCATTGCAAATATTACAAACTTACAAGAAACCTTAAACAGGAAAAGTGCCGTTGGACATACACATTCTATATCTGAAATAACAGACTTAAACGTTAGCCTTGAAAAGAAAGCAAATAAGACTCATACACATACAAGTTTTACAACTGTTGCTATAGAAAGTATTGAAGGAACGGTTGAAGAAACTGGTGGGGATGCATTATATTGTAAACCTCCTAACTTTCCACAAGGTTTAACATCGGATGACGACATAACGACGATGAGAAACATTAGATGTAAAGATGTTTATGTCATGAAGGATGAACATAATATTAAATTCACTGCTCAAGATTTATATGACAAGAAAGCAGACAAAACAGAGCTTCAAACATTAAAGACAGAAATACTTCAAACATTATATCCTATAGGCTCTATTTATACGTCAATGAACTCTACCAGACCAGAAACAGTTCTGGGTTTTGGAACTTGGACTCAAATAGTCGACAGGTTTTTGTATTGTGCAAACTCTTCAAAGGAAACAGGTGGAAGTAAAACGATTTCAGGTGAAAATTTACCTGCACATAGTCACTACATAGATTTAAGTACATCTCAAGCAGGTTGGCATAAGCATAGATATTGGGATTGGTCAGCAATGATAAAAGGTAAAGGATATGATGTTAAAGACAACGTTAAGTTTGCTATAAATTGTTACTGGAGTAACATTGAGGGAGGAGGAAACCATACACATCGCGTTTCAGGATATACGCAAACAACGGGACAAAGTAAAGAATACATGCCACCTTACATGACAGTTTACGCATGGTATAGAAATGCTTAGTCGTCATTTTCAACTTCTTTAGCATATTCGTCAGGAGTTGTCTTATATTTGTTAGGAACTGTCTTTGAAAGTATACCACCTTGAACTTTGACAAGTTTGAAACGAGGTCTGACAATAGTAGTTTTATCTTCTGCTTGCAGTCTGTACATTTTGCCATGTTTGCCTAAAACTTCATAATATTCTCTTGTATACTTTCTTCTATTTTTACGAACACGAATGTGAGTACCTGTCGGGTTCCCATTGTTGTCATAGTCAATAGTATTTTCATATGGGTCGCGTTTAGGTATTTCTATTTTTACTTTGTCACCTTTCTGAAGTTTGAAGCCCGGCATTCTTTCTTGTTTGTCTCTTTTGACTAAATTATTAAATATATAGTCTTTCTCTAAGTCAGGGTTGTTTTTCATTTCTTCGGGGGAGTGGTTTCCCAAACCTTTTTGTTTACGGCTATTGTAAATATTTAAAACTTGTCTCATCTTTGCCATGGAGAAGTGTCTATATTTGTCGTCATATGACATTTCATTTGCTTCACCACCTTGTGGTTGGTTTAAGTCTCTTAACATTTTTATACAACCGTCAATGACACCAAGAGCAGAATGGTTTTGGTCGACAATGAAATATTGGTTTACATTTTTTGAACGCAGATAGTTTTTTACATCATCTGATTTGAAAGAACTTTCACAGTCAGATGTCAGTTTTGTTGGATGGTATTTGTCAACGAATATTGTCAAAGCAGTTTTCACATCTAAAATATTTTTGGACCATAATGGTATGGCTTCACAGTATCTTGTGTTTTGACCGACAAATATTAGCCAGTATGGTGGTCCATCTGTTCTAACTCTCGGAATGTTTTCCAAGATATCCATAAACCAAGCATTTGGTGTTGAACTAAAGATTTTTACCATGAGTGCTTTCTTTGTCGCTTTAGAAACATAGGGGTCCTTGTTTGGATTCGTCATTTTTTATCCTATAAGAAATGGGTTTATTTGGCGCATTAGCAGGAGTTGCATCCAGATTTTTGCCCGCAGTGGGAACAATAGCCAGAGGTGTATTTGGAGTTGGAAGGAAGATTTTGAGTACATTAGGTATACTTAAAGAGAAAGCACAACCTATTATACAAACTGTACAGAAAGGTTGGGATGTAGCACGAGATGCAACAAATCTTATTCCAAATCCTGAAACAAGAGGAAAAGTTCAAGGATGGATGGACAATGTAGGAAGACAAGCAGGAAACTATTATAACAAAGCAAATGACTACTATAACCAAGCAGGACACTATATGGACCAAGGTGAAAGATTCTTTAACAGAGGATATAACCATGCACAACAATGGGTAAACAATAACCAACCTCAACCGCCTCAAACGTGGGGAATGTAAAGTTTTTTACTGAGATGAAATGAACAATACAGCATTGAGACAAATGGGTTCAAGATGGATTTGTCGGCTTCCAGCAGTTACACAACGTGTTTGTCAAGTTCTTCCTATACCTCAGGAAGTTTTAGACCGACTTAAAAAACAACAACAACCAGTTGAAAACAAACCAAACTAAAATTTTTTACTGAGATGAAATGACCGAAGAAGTTGAAACGGTAGATTTGACACCACAAACAAAAAGTTCAGAACCATTGTCAAAACCTGTCAAAGAACTTACAGATGAAGAGAAAAATTCAATAATAGAAAGTGCCAGGTCTGGAAATACAAACCCTAACTACAAAGTCACTTTTCATAAAAATGGAACGGCAAGTATCTCAAAAAAGAAACAGACTCTCACAAATAAAATATTGAAGTCTGAAGGAGCTTTCGAGACAACAGATGGAAAAGTTTACTTCACTGACCAACAGTTCATTATAGAACATCTCATTGACTTAGAGTCGAAATATTCTAAACTTTACAACAAACACAAAAAGTTGAAAGGAAAACAAAAACAAATGGCATATGATATTTATGAAGATGTTGACGACACAACTGTTCCTGCAAGTGAAGTAAAGTCAGAGAAACCGAAAAAGTGACGAAAAACCGATAGAAGAAGAAAAACCAAAAACTGAAGATAAACCAAAACCAAAGTTTAGTTTGGAAACTAAACCAAGTCAACCTTCATTAGCTGGTATGGGTTGGCGTCAAAGACTTATGGCAGCAGGCGGTTATGTTAAGTAAAGAAAAAAATATTTTTTTATTTTTATAAAAATGCCCCCATATAGAATGGATAGAAAATCTGCTAGAATAAAAGCAGAGTTGCAAAGATATGGTTGGAGAGTTTCGAAGAATTTTAAATATAGGAAGGGAAGACCCATAAAAGTCTATGACAAACTGGCTGGTCTGACCTACGAAATGGATTTGGAAACAGCACGTGCCAATTATCCAAACAGACTAGAGAGGTTAGAAGAAGAACGTCTTATGGACATGCCTTTCGATGTGTTAAACATTGCATGAAGTAAAAATTTATTTTTTAAAAAGTGACATTTTTTAAATTTTATTTGAAATGTACGCAGAGTTTGTTGGAGAAGACCGTTGGGAAACTTGTTTGTTAGATGAGAAATATGAAATGGCATACCATTTTAAAACAATATATTTTTACATATATTAAATGCTTCAGGCTGAAAAACAAAGAACAAAAGTAGCAGATACAAAACCGTTAGACTATATCTTTACAAATGCTGGTAGGACTATTTCAGATGAAGAAATTTCATCCCGAACATACAGGTTTGACTATCCAATTCGTTGGCTTCAAAGTCCTTCAGATGCAAAGGCAATAGGATTTAGAAGAGTTTTGTTTTCAAATAGAACTAACGCATTTATGTTCGCAGTATATTTTCATGGGCAGTATAAAGGTTCTGATGGTCTAATAGACAAATTTGACGAAATGAGAATCTTTACAGTTCGTTCAGACGAAAGTCTTGAGAAAACTCTAAATGACTTTCAAACTCAAATGAACAAATATTATTGGGAATTTCAAGAAAAATACGACTCTTTACTAAATGGAACATACTATCTGAAACTAGAATATGACAAGATGAACTCCACCGTTTCATTTCAAAAGATTGAAATTAACCCTCCAAGAGATACAGAGTTTATTTTGGAAAGTAGACAAACGTTCTTGGGCACAATTTCTTCGGTTACTAAACCAGAACGAACCATTACCACCAGATGGTCCATTTAAATTTATACTTCCACCAGCAGATTTGACAGTTTATAGAAACGTGTTTGACCCTCAAAATGTTATGTGTCATGCAAGTTTCAGTTCAAGCAACAATAGTTTTCTATGTATTGGTAAGGACTTTTATGACTTTGCTTCTAAATTCTACGAACCACCTAGTAACAGTTTCTCTGACTTTCAAGTTTGGTTCACAACAAATGGTGTGCAACATATTATTCCATTGTACTATGACTTTTATCTCGAATTGTCTTTCATATATAACTACGGAAAAGTGCTGAAAAAGTATTGAATGTGAAGATATTAGAAAATAACACGTTTTCTAACATCGTAGAAAACTCATGAAAACAATTTATTTTTGACACTTTCACAAAAAACATAAAAAAGTGAAGTTAAACGTTAAGGTTTACTGAACTGGTTGGATGTCGCCTTCACAGGTTATGTAGAATTTCCACCTCAAGGTTACTACCCACCACAAGGCTTCCCGAACTACCCTCCTCTGCCTATGCCTTACTTCCCCAACCCTTGGATGTTCCAGCAAGCTCCACCCCAGCAATTCCAATCTCAGTCCAAATCGAAGAGAGACCAAGAGTTCGAAGAAGGTCTGAACCGTTTACGCAAAGAGTATGCCACAGCTCCAATTGAGAGAAAGTTGTTCCCGGACCAAAAATATAATTTATGTTAGAATGTTAGATCTCACCTGTTTTTTCACCTCTTTTTTCACCTCTTGAATTTTCATGACTTCTTCGTAAATGTTTTGTCAAGACTTCTTCGTAAATGTTTTGTCAAGACTTCATCGTAAATGTTTTGTCAAGACTTCTTCGTAAATGTTTTGTCAAGACTTCTTCGTACATGTTTTGTCAAGACTTCTTCGTAAATGTTTTGTCAAGACTTCTTCGTAAATGTTTTGTCAAGACTTCTTCGTACATGTTTTGTCAAGACTTCTTCGTAAATGTTTTGTCAAGACTTCTTCGTAAATGTTTTGTCAAGACTTCTTCGTACATGTTTTGTCAAGACTTCTTCGTAAATGTTTTGTCAAGACTTCTTCGTAAATGTTTTGTCAAGACTTCTTCGTAATGAGTGTAAAGGACCCAAAAATAAAGTTTAGGTGAAGAGGTGAGATCTCACCTGTTTTTTCACCTCTTGAATTTTCATGAATTTCCTTAAGATAGAAAAAATAAAGTTAGTTTTATTTTGTATTTTTTTGTATGTAAGATATGATTTCAGGGATTTTTTTGACGAAGTGTTAACCTTCACTTCGTCAAAAAATAACAGTTATCTAATGAAAAAGTGTCATTTTTTGTATTTTTTTGTATAAAAGATATGATTTCAGGGATTTTTTTGACGAAGTGTCAACCTTCACTTCGTCAAAAAATAACAGTTATCTAATGAAAAAGTGTCATTTTTTGTATTTTTTTTGTATTTGACGAGAATGTCGGGTAAATGTTTTGTCATGATTTCATCGTAAATGTTTTGTCAAGACTTCTTCGTATATGTTTTGTCATGACTTCATCGTACATGTTTTGTCAAGACTTCTTCATCGTAATGAGCGTAAATGTTTTGTGAAGAATATAGCAACAGTCTGAATTCAAATGTATTTACATACATCCTGACCTCGTTCATTTTGTTGCTGAATTCAGCAAAAATAATGTTTAGGTGAAGAGGTGAGATCTCACCTGTTTTTTCACCTCTTTTTTCACCTCTTGAATTTTCATGACTTCTTCGTAAATGTTTTGTCAAACATGAACGTATATGCTTTGTCAAGACTTCTTCATCGTAATGAGCGTACATGTTTTGTCATGATTTCATCGTAAATGTTTTGTCAAAACTTCTTCGTAAATGTTTTGTCAAGACTTCTTCATCGTAATGAGCGTACATGTTTTGTCATGATTTCATCGTAAATGTTTTGTCAAAACTTCTTCGTAATGAGCGTACATGTTTTGTCATGATTTCATCGTAAATGTTTTGTCAAAACTTCTTCGTAATGAGCGTACATGTTTTGTCATGATTTCATCGTAAATGTTTTGTCAAAACTTCTTCGTAAGTGTTTTGTCAAGACTTCTTCATCGTAATGAGCGTACATGTTTTGTCATGATTTCATCGTAAATGTTTTGTCAAAACTTCTTCGTAATGAGCGTAAATGTTTTGTCAAGACTTCATCGTAATGAGTGTAAAGGACCCAAAAATATAATTTAGGTGAAGAAGTGAGATCTCACCTGTTTTTTCACCTGTTTTCTCACCTCTTGAATTTTCATGAATTTTCCCGAAATAAAAAATAAAGTTAGTTTTATTTTTTTTTATTTTTTTATTTTGTATAAAAAAATAAAAATGTCAACAATCGGCACAACAGCAATACAAACAACTACAGCACCAAACTCTTTAGTCATGAATCCTACGTCAATGTTAGTAGAGATGAAAAGCTTCATTCCTTCTTCATATACTTTTGAAACAGAAATCCAGAAGATAAAGCAAGAACTTTTAACATGTAATTTAGACTGTAGTGCGAAAGATGAAACAAATGAACAGTATCTTTATGAAATGCAGGACATTATTGACCATTTACCCAAACTACCTGAAATCCAACAACAAAAACTCACTATTCCTGAATTCGACGAAATTGAAGTCAAAGCAACTGACTCAGTAGAAATAAAGAAGTTCATACGAAAGGTAAACTATGAGTTTCTAGGATTTCATTGCAACCATAAGGTTATGGACAAAGATTGCGACATGGTATATAAGAATGTTTCTGACATATATAAATCTGAAGAATTTAAGACCTACGACAACTTTGTTTCGTTAGTTGCTGAATGTGTATGGCAGATAAGAGATAAAGATAGAAGAGGCAAAGTATGGAACAAACAAATAAGACCCGCTATGTTTGAGATGAAGAGAGCAATTGACGCTTTAGTTGTTTTAGCTGGTAAGGTTTCAGAATATAACGCAAAAATGAACCCGCAATGTTCTAAATGTAAAGCAGCAATGAGGAAATATAACTACTCCGTCAAAGAGATAGAAAGAATGAGAAACGACTATGCAGATTTAAAGAAAGAAGCAGAGAAGCCGGTAGAAAATAAAATGGACATGTTGACATTTCTGAACAAAAACTATCCAACTGCTGACGATTTCCTTCTATCTGACGTCAAGAAGAAGTATAAAGAAACTTTCGGTATCGTTAAAACATTCGATGTACTAAAAGAAGAAATAGAAGCTACGAAACTGTTTAAGATTTCAAATATACATCGTACAATTCATGTAAAACGCTCATGAAAAAAGAGGTGAGAAAACAGGTGAGAAAACAGGTGAGATCTCACCTCTTCACCTAAACATTATTTTTGCTGAAAAATGACCAAATTTCATGAATTTCCTTAAGACAGAAAAAATAAAGTTAGTTTTATTTTTATTTATTTTTTTATTTTGTATGTAAGAACAGAAATGACAAACATTGAGTTTGAAACAGTTAGAAAGATAGACAATGACACCAAAGTGGTTAGAATAGGTGATTTAAACGTAAGATACTCAAAGAAATACAACAAATATTCTTTGTCAGACATTATATCTCCATCTGGAAAGAAAGCAAAGGACTGGGTTAGAAATGCTTCTACTCAGAAAATTTTGACAAGAAATCCTGAGCTTATGATATCGGTAAAATTCTATGGAACTGCAGCATATCTTATAGACAAAAGTCTTATACCAATAGTTTTGTTATGGTTAGATCCAGTTGTTGGATATAACTTCATAACATATGGTTCATTCGATACGGAACGTTGCAGTGAAGGCTTACTTTACATCGTTCAGAAACCGAAGGACTTCAATACAAAGAGATATAAGATAGGAAGAACATATAATATAACTCAAAGATATGACAGTACAGTCAATAGAGTCAAGGTTGTGTTTGCTAATGATATGAGAGCTGCAGAAACAGAACTACTTGAAAAGTTTGAGAAAATATATGGTGCTCCATAAAAGGTAAAGAAACGTTTGAAGTAGATGAGATAGATAAAGCTATAAAATTATTTGACGAAGTTGCTGAAAAATACATGTAAAGCGTTTATTTTTGGTTTTGTGAAAATCAGAAAATAACGCTAATTTTTTATAAAATTTGACGAAGTGCAAACCTTCACTTCGTGTCATAATGTAAAAATAACGCTAATTTTTATAAAATTTGACGAAGTGCAAACCTTCACTTCGTGTCATAATGTAAAAATAACGCTAATTTTTATAAAATTTGACGAAGTGCAAACCTTCACTTCGTGTCATAATGTAAAAATAACGCTAATTTTTTATAAAATTTGACGAAGTGCAAACCTTCACTTCGTGTCATAATGTAAAAATAACGCTAATTTTTATAAAATTTGACGAAGTGCAAACCTTCACTTCGTGTCATAATGTAAAAATAACGTTTACCATGTAAAACGGTTGTGAAAAAAAGAGGTGAAAAATTAGGTGAAAAAACAGGTGAGATCTCACCTCTTCACCTAAACATTATTTTTGCTGAAAAATGACCAAATTTCATGAATTTCCTCATATGCTTGCTTCCCTCGGAAAACCGAGAGAAGAGATTCCGTACGAAAATCATGAAGAACAGCGAGTAGGTAAAAAACCGCAGTCGCCAAAACTCTATGAAAACAGTGAAGAACAGCGAGTAGGTAAAAAACCGCAGTCGCCAAAACTCTATGAAAACAGTGAAGAACAGCGAGTAGGTAAAAAACCGCAGTCGCCAAAATCTATGAAAAACAGTGAAGAACAGCGAGACCGTTTTTTTTCTGGGTCGCCAAAACTCTATGAAAACAGTGAATTTCCTTAAGATAGAAAAAATAAAGTTAGTTTTATTTTTATTTATTTTTTTATTTTGTATGTAAAGACAGATATGTCAACATCAGAGAACACAACAACAGTTATAGTCCATGAAGCTATAAATGAAGAATACGAGTACATACAGTTTAACAAACAACTCCGTCTCATTCGTTCGGTCAAAGACGATATGTACCAGATGCAAAGTATTTTGACAGCATGTTTTGCTCCAGATACTAAGCTTCCTAAAGACTGGTTTAGGAACCAAACACACAAGAACTTTTGAGCGAAGCACAGCGAGACCGACTTTTTTCTGGGTCGCCAAAACTCTATGAAAATCGTGAAAAATTGCCAAACGTTGAGAGGATATTATGTACATAGACTTCTTGTAAATGCTGTTGCAATGTGGGCTTCGCCTCGTTATGCTTGGAATATTTACAGACTTCTTGACGAAATTCATAGACAAGAACGTGAAGAGATGGAAAACAAGCTTGAAGCAAAAGACAAAAGCATTCAGAAAAGAATACCACGTTCAGTACCAAAAGGAAAGGAAAAGAACTATAAGTATATGATTTATACTGAAGAGATGGAAAATGAAGAAGATAAAGATATGGTTATGTTGCATTTAGTCAAAGAAACAACAAAAGCTTTTACGACCTTGCTAAGATTTACAAATCTGACAGAAATGGTTCTATCGCGAAAACTTACCGATTTCAATGACACCGAATGAAGATGTGAAACAAATAGTTCAAGATACGTTACCTCAAACACACTATGATATTAAAGGTTGTACAATACTTACCTTCAAAGAAGACTTACCGCTACTGAAGGAAAAAATAACAGAGTATTTTGACAACTTCAAACAAGCAGAGTAAATGAACCATTTATTTTTCAAGCTTGACTTCAGATGGCTCAGGTAGCTCTATAAGGTAAATTGCCTCGTCAAATCCTTCTGGCATTCCGAGTCCTTCCATCCGACAGGAAGAACTCTTCCATCCGACAGGAAAAAATTTTCATTCCGACAGGAAGAACTCTTCCATCCGACAGGAAAAAATTTTCCTTCCGACAGGAAAAATTTTTCCATCCGACAGGAAAAATTTTTCCAGTTGTCCGTCCGTAAACCATTCAAATTTTCGAAAATTGAGAACTTTTTGGTCGAACTTCAGAAAAAAATTTTCCATCCGACAGGAAAAATTTTTCCATCCGACAGGAAAAAATTTTCCTTCCGACAGGAAGAACTCTTCCATCCGACAGGAAAAATTTTTCCATCCGACAGGACACAAACGGATGACTGACGTTCCTCTTCCTGAATGCCTTCCAAAGCCAGAAGAACCGACAGCCCCAGCACCACAACAGACTTACTTACTAAGACTAAACTCTTTATTTTTACGCTTGACTTTTTACAATTTGAATTTTGTTGCTGAATTCAGTAAAAATATAATTTAGGGTAGAAGGTGAGATCTCACCTGTTTTTTCACCTCTTTTTTCACCTCTTGAATTTTCATGAATTTTCCCGAAATAAAAAATAAAGTTAGTTTTATTTTTTTTTATTTTTTTTTATTTTTTTTTTAGAATTTCTGAACAAAAACTATCCAACAGCAGAAGATTTCCTTCTATCTGACGTCAAGAAGAAGTATAAAGAAACTTTCGGTATCGTTAAAACATTCGATGTACTAAAAGAAGAAATAGAAGCTACGAAACTGTTTAGAGTCTCACGAATTCATAACGTTTACCATGTAAAACGCTTATAAAATAACTGGGGTAGAAAAGAGGTGAGAAAACAGGTGAGATCTCACCTTCTACCCTAAATTATATTTTTACTGAATTCCGTATGAAAATTCTGAGTAAAATAATTTTTAGGGCATGTGTCAAACCGTTGAGTTTTCACAAAATTTAAAAAATAACGTTTACCATGTAAAACGCTTATAAAATAACAGGTGAGAAAACAGGTGAGAAAACAGGTGAGATCTCACCTCTTCACCTAAACATTATTTTTGCTGAATTCAGCAACAAAATTCTTGATTTCAGGGATTTTTTTGACGATGTGCAAACCTTCACTTCGTCAAAAAATGGCATATGCTTGCTTCCCTCGGAAAACCGAGAGAAGAGATTCCGTACGAAAATCATGAAGAACAGCGAGTAGGTAAGAAACCCCAGTCGCCAAAACTCTATGAAAATCATGAAGAACAGCGAGTAGGTAAAAAAACTTAGTCGCCAAAACTCTATGAAAACAGTGAAAAATAACAGAGTATTTTGACAACTTCAAACAAGCAGAGTAGATGAACTCTTTATTTTTCAAGCTTGACTTTTTACAATTTGAACTTTGTTCGCGTAGATATGAATTCTGAAAGAAGTATGAGGGTCTTGTATGACTTTATACTTCTCCCATAGTTCATGTCTGTCAAACTTACCTGCCATGGACTCTTTCATAAGTTCCATGAAATCGTCTTCGGACAATCCGGGGAAAAGTACAATGTCAGTAAGTATTCTCTTTACATCCTTACTTAAACTCTTTGCTGTCTGTACACAAATGACAACTGAGATGTTAAAGTGTCTGAGCTTCTTAAGAATTCGACACATATCTTGTTCTCTATTCTTAAGCAAAGGATGAGAGGCGAAATCATCTAAGATAAGAAGACACCTATGAGGGTATGTCTTCCAATCGTAAGATTGCAATTTCTTCGAAATGTATTCTATCTCTTTCTGTTTGTTTCTGAAGTGTTTCTTCTCTAATATTCTCTGCATTTCCTCATTTGGGTCTTTAAACTTAGAATTTATATACTCATTTATAGCATTATACTTCAAAACTCTTCTTTGGTACTTCTTTATCCAATCTAACAACTCAGTATCCTTTATACATACTAACTTAGACTTCTTTATAATATCTTTGAACGAATTGACGGTTTGGTCAAATTGACCAGAAGTACTACAAATGACAACTAACTCATAGAATGGGTTCTTCTCATCTAGTTCTTGTTGTTGTGCAGCCATTTTAAGATAAGTGAAAGTCTTACCCGACCCAGGTGGTGCAATTAGACCTGTTATACCATTCTGAGCAAATAAGAACTTGTCATGTATAGGCTTTATCTGAGCATTTTCTAACTTCACCTTGTTCTTGTTTAAAACATTCTCAAATTTCTTGTCAATGTCAGCAAACTTTTTTTCTAACATATTTTTAGAAAAATTAAAATTTTTATCTTTTAGAAAATGTCTAGCGATTTCGCTATCTATATTCGAGACAAACTTTTTGACAGCAAAACATCTGTCGACCATAAAATCTTACATAGTGTAAACAAGAAAGGTGAATTTGTTCTAAAGTTCTGTTTCTGGGAATATGACAAGAACCATAAAACATTAAGCAGAGCAGTCTTAAAATTTGTCAATGACAGACTTGTTGACAGAGATGACGCCGATTGGAAAGATGAAGTCCAACAAAAGTTCTTAGAATGCAAAGAAGACACATGCGCTGTTCTTGAAGATGAAATAGAAAACAGAATAGATGAGCTATTAAAGGACAAAGAACTTTTACATAAATATAGTTGCGCCAAATTTGACATAACTCCACCAGAAAAGAAGAAGAAAGAAAAGAAAGAAAAGAAAGTAGAAGAAGAGAAGAAAGAACCTGAACCAGTTCCAGAGAAAAAGAAATTTGACATGTAAAAATAAAATTTTATTTTTAGAACATTTCTGGGTCAATGTCAATGTTCTCTTCCTCTTTAGGAGCAAACACTGGCTTAGACTCTAAAATCTTTTTACCCAATTTACCTTGAACTTCAACTATCTTAGACTCATAATATTCATAGTCGTCTGCTTTCTTTGGTTCATAAGGTATAACAAGTTTGTATGCTTTGCCTTCTTTAAGGTTTGAAAACCTTCTGTCAAAACTTTCTTTGACTGCTAACAAACCTTCTATGTCTAAGTCTTCAAATTTCGCACCATTTTTAGTCACAATAGCAAACTTAACTGGTTCGATGTTCCAAACTTTGCTGAATGAAGACTTTTCAAAATGGTAGAAGTAAACATTCAAATATGTGAATGGGTCTAGTTCTTCTTTAAGTCCTGACATGTACTTGTTTACTGAAATATATTTCGTCATCTTTTCTATCGGATAAAAAAAATTTTTTTTTAAAATTTACTCAGAAAAATTATTTCTTTCTATATTTGCCATTCCGAACTTCGAAAAGATGTTTTATACCAGCATAGAATTTTTCTCTAGAGCTTGGTCTTATATCGTTTTCATGACAATATTTTCTATATTCTTCATATAAAGCCTTTTTTTCATACATTTCATAAGGACAATCTAACCAGAATAGCGCATATCCATTTTCGTTATCTAGGTCTCTATATGTTTCTTCTGTTTGTAGAATTTTGCCTTCACTATTTAGTTCTATGTCTATATATTGTGGCTTAAAAAGATGTGGGCAAGAAGGGTCTGGCGCTATGTAAAAAGTTAATTTTTCTGTCATCTTTTCTATCGGATAAAAAAATATTTTTTTTAAAATTTACTCATAAAAATTTTTCTTTGTATATACACCATTCTGTACGTCTAAAAGACTTTTGACATTTGCCAAGAATGTTCGTTTAGACGCTGTCATATAACCATATTCTTGACAATATTGTTTATACGAATCGTACAATGACCTTTCATCTAAACACTCAAAGTCAGTTTCATCTATGAACAGTTCATATACACTCTTGTTTGCTTCTAACAATGTTTGTCTCTCTTCGGTATGTGGAATTTGTCTTGGATTGAACTTAGAAATATCTAATGTCATAAAATATGAGAACAAGTGGTTGTAAAAGTCAGATGTCAAAGTTTCTGCTAAGTCGTCAAAATATTCTGTATCTTGCATATGAGAATCTGACGTTCTGACAACTACATATCTTCTGTCAGAACTTTCTAACTTCATCGGAACAGCATTGTTTGAAACCATAATGAAGTTTGCAACATTTTCACAAACTCTTTGGTCTTTATATTTTCTTTCAACAACTCCAACTTTATCTGTTATAAGACTCTTCAAAGCATCTGAGTTCAAAACTTTTGTTGTATCTATACTTTGAAGTTCGTTACATACTATAAGTTTCATATTCTCTATTGAGTTAAACTTGCCACAGATGTTTTCTAAGTTTGTCATATTCGGGTTCGAATAGCCCTCTAACAGTTTGCACAAGATATCTGTAAAGAAAGTATTCTTACCAGTTCCTTGTTTTCCAATTATAATGAGAGCAGTTTCATTTTTAGCACTTGGATGTTGTAAGATGTTTGCAAACCAACATAAGATATACTCATAAACCTTTTCGTTTCCATTGCATATAATTTCTTTGACATGGTCTAACCAAGCTTCTATAATATTTTCTTTCCATTCTACTTGTTCGTATTTATATCCAGTGAAGATAGAATAGAAGTTTGGAGAAGGTGTATAGAACTTTATACCTCGAACTGAAAAATCTTCTAACTTTGACAATAAGATATCCCAAGCATCTAACATCTTCATGCCAACTTGTACAACTTTTATTTTCTTAAGTTTCTGTCTACATTCTTGTTCTGAAACTATTGTCGCTTTAGGTTTGTTAAAGACTACATCCCATTCTTTCATGACATAACATTCTGGGCAGAGTCGACATAAATGACTAAACGTTTCAAATTCTCGACTGCTTTGTTATAGTCTCTAAATGGACACATATTTCTGAATGCTTGGAAGTCATAAAAATCTGAAACATCTATTCTGTACATTTTTATAAAAATAAAAAAAATATTTTTTTTTATTCTTGACTTTGTTGTTGCATTTGTTGCATTTGTTGTTCTTGAGCTATTTGTTGTTGAAGTTGTTCTTGTAATACAATACTTTCACCAGTTGCATCTTCCAATTCGAAACTTTCTGCCGTCATTGACAAATACATAGGACATAAAAGTTTTACAGGAACAAAGTTTGCGTCAACTAATGTCAACGTTATACTTGCCAAAGTGTTTGAGTTCACTAAGGTTGAAAATTCTGCATTCGAATGAACAATAGGCAAACCAGCAGAGAAAGTATTGTTTATACGCATAAGTATCTTTTGGTCATAATAGTTTCTGTCGACATTCGAATAACACTTTGAACCTAAGTTTGAAACAATATATAAGATTGGTGTGCTTAATGTCAATGGAATAGACATTCCTTGTATGACACCTTTTCCTGTTATAGGAAACTGTTGGTAGTAAAAACCAGAAATAAGTTTTGTATTATAGCTCATATCGTTTATAGTAAACTCAGTCGGACATCCAAACATAATGAAACCTGCTCTAGTTGCAGCACATGTTACACCCGTACTTAAAGTATTAAATAAGTCAACAAAACCTGTTGGTTATATCTGAGTAAGTATCTTCAAAGGAGTATTTTTTACCATTCACAACAATAAAGTCTTCTGGTGTCAAAAGAGCAAAACAGGCTTTAGTCGTCATTGTGTTTAAGGTTAGTTTACAATATCGTCCTTGAGGACTTTGTAAGTTTGTTGTTATAGAATTATATGACTCAGGGTTTTTAGTCGTAATAGTATAAACCATTATATCTTCTGCCATTATATATATTTAAAAGTTTTTCTGAAAGTGGAGAAGAACTTCATCTAAACTTTCACATGGCGTTTCTTGAAGTTCTCTGTCTAAGAAGTTCAAATATTTTGTAAAGACATAGAACTTTCCTTTGTCTACACGAACAAACAAAACAGGGTCTTTCATATCGTTCAAAAGTGTGTAAAGTCCTTTACATGAAATAAAGTCTATATTATTTTTCTTCAAACATCTTTCAAGAAGTTTTGACATTTTTACTTAGCAAATAAATTTTAATGAAATGTTGTGGTCGTCAAATATTTTTATAACGTCTGGGAAACTATACTTTAAGTTCAACGTTTCACCTCCTTTCATAACGTATATCTTGTCAATGACATTATATGAAACACCACAGCAACTAATGTCGGGTTCTATTTCTTTGATGTTTATATCGTCTGCCTCTGTCAAAAGTTTCAATAGTTCTTTCAAAACTTCATGAGGTGCAATGACATATGAGTTCACTTTTACAGGGTTGTGTTCGACCAAGTTTAACATTATACTTAAAGCTTGACAAATCTTCTCCTGAGTTTGAAGTTTGTCTTTCAGTTGTTGGTAGTCGTTTCGAATATCTGCAACAGAACTTAAGTCTCTGTTAACTTCAGGATATGTTGGTTCTTTTACAGGAACAATGTTATACCATCTTCGTCTTCGTATGGTTTCCCCACTTCAACATCTCTGTCTTTGACATTGACAACAACACTTTGACTGTTTGTTTGAGTTGGTGAATTTAACTTCACATCTGCCACCGCCATTAAACCTTTTGAAACACTCACGCTTCTATTTTTCGGAAATGACATTTTACTTAGAATAAAAAGATGGACGTATTCGGATATCTCTTTGAATTGAAGCAGAACAAAGTTTACACACACAAACAATACAAATACATTGACAGAATAGTTCTTTATACAAACAATGGAAAATGTTATAGAATAGCAGTCTTTGCTGAACCTAAATATTTTCATAAAGCAAAGAAAGTTGGTATAACTGAAATGGTGAAAGTTCTTGACGTTGACAAAAATATAACAACAAAACTTACAGATATTTCTAAAGGTAAGTTTATCTTACAATATTATGTCAAAACGGCGTACTGTCAATATTTGACGGAGAGAAGTCAGTTCAAGAACAACTTACTGACCTGCTGCCAAAATCTGCTCGATGGAAGCTGTCGTTATGCCAATCTGAGGAGCCCAGCAGGTTTCATCGAACGAATCTTCAAAAGAGCATCTTCCGTGAAAAGTGCTATTGGTTTTGTAAACTTCTTTGCTCTCAGTTCATCTGGACCGTCTCTGTCACCAGTATATTGTATTTGTACAGTACCAACAGTTGAAATACCACCCATAAAGTCTTCTGAGTCAGCAAATGGAATGCCAAGCCAAAAGTTTGAACGGTCTCCATTTGTATATTGAGTTTTTTGACCTCCTGTATGAGTCCATACTTTCACATATGGCATAATAGAACTTTGCATTTCAGGGTTAATGGTTGTTGTGAAGTTGTTGTTAAAGTTCATAGCATCTAATGTCAAGTTGTATGACCTCATATCCTCAACTGTAGAATATTCTTCTCTTGGATAATATTTGCCATCTATGTTTATATGATATTTAATACCGGGGTTGTAGAAACAAGAATAGTCATTTATAGTTCGTCTGAACAGTACAAACATAGTATCTGCATGTTTCATTGCAGTTGTTAAAGCAATATCTGTTCTTGCACCTGGGTCAGCACTTTGGTTTCCAACTTCACCTGCAAAGTCTTTGACAGATATTTGGTGTATAGGGAACATAAGTGGAACTGCAATATATTTGGCAGCTAAAGCATTTGAAATATCTGGGTCCAACATATAGACTGCAAGTCTGCTTTCTATTCTCTTGCATTCAAATTTTCGCATGTAAACTTAACTGGGTCCCAAGCAGTTCCAGCAGCATTGAAATAATAGTTTACTTCATTGTTGAAGTTTGAGAAACCAAAGTCTAAGTCAACTTTGTCTTTGCAAAAGTCGGCGAATGATTTTTATTTGTTCCCATTACGTCTGTAAGAGTGAATGGGTCTTTGTGTTGGTGCAATGACTAAGTTATTTTTGCTTGGAGTAAGTTCGATAGAAATTTTTCCTGCCCAGTTTGGTAAGTATCTTAAAAACCTGAAGATGAGGAAAGATGACAAAGGAACTCTAAGTTTCAGTTTTACTTTAGTGGCAGCAGTTCCATCTGAACCAGAAAGGTTAACATAAACTCCTGGAACGTTAGGGTCAAGTCTTCTTATTTTCTCAATATTTGCATACTGGTCTGTTTGTTCTCTAGCTTGTGGTTGTACTGAGTTTCTCAAAGCGAACCATTCATAGTTTGCCCATGTTACTGTTTGAACTAAGTCAGAGTTAGAATATATCTTATATCCCATGAAAACTTCTGGAGCATATTGGTATCCGACATAGAAAATTCCATTGCAACCTTTCTTGTCAGACAACTTGGCAGAAGGTTTATTTCAATGTCTTGTTCCACGTATAAGAATGAGTTGTCAATAGAAATAATATGAAACCTTCGCAAGCAATATCTACTGTTGTTGAAGAACCTTCTCCAAACTCACCTACGTTTCCATAAGAAACAGCAGTTGTATATTCGTAAGTTCCAGGAACTATTTCTGACCTTCTAATGGCATTGTCGCATTCGTTATACCATTCGGAAACATTTCCGTTCATGGCATCCAAAACTGTTGGCGTTATATTCTGAGCGGCGTACATTTCATATGGGTAAAAATATAGAATAGTTGGATTTATTTGTCATAATTGTTTCGTACCAAGCTTTACTTTCTTCCTGACTGAGTTTTTAACTCTTCTTTTTCCTTCATTGCCACTACTTTCACTAGATGAAGTTACTTCTTCACTACTTTCACTTTGTTCTACTCTTCTTCTTTGGTGTCGCTTTTGGTAACTTGCCCTCTGCTTTAAGTTGTTGCATCTTTGCCTCATGTTCACCTAGTATGTTGTAAATTTCCCATGTCCTTTTTGCCTTTGGGCTCTGGTCGCCCATCTCAGGTAACCTATATCCTAGAAAGATTTTGTCATAGTTTGTATTTGAGTCTTCGCGTATTGTTTGCATGACTCTTTCCTGAGTTTCCGGTTCAAGCTCTTCAAACAGAGCTTGTCCATATGAATAAGCTCGTTTCCAAATATATGTTTTTGTAGCCATTCTGGTTTTCTTTCCATGTTACCAATAATATCTTTTGTGAATGGGAAAGCTTTTACCCAATGTTTCAGTCTTGCGTCATTTATTTCTGTAGTTGGTTTTATTTTGTCAAGGAACATGTTTTTCAATACTAACATTTCATTTGGTACTGTCCATTTGAGTTTTCTTAAATATTCATCCCTTCTCAGTTCATTGTCTGCAAAGTAAGTTTTTATGACATTTTGTAAACTTTCGTTTGCAAGGTCATGTACAATAGGTTCTCTTCCTTCTATCTCCCTAACTTTCTTTCTAAACTCTTCACCAAATATACCATCTCTATGGTTCTGTGTAGTTCTTTGAGATAAATGTTCTAGAACGTCAGGTGTTATATTTCCATCAGCCATGTTCATTTCATACTGGTCCAAAATATCTGCATGTTTCATATCTTTCAATGGCATTAAAGCCGCGCTGAAAATACCAGCTATATCTGGTTCACCATTCACTTCCATTGCGTCTACAACTTCTTGAATTGTGGTTGTAAGTTTATGAACCACCTATCCGGATTAGCTTTATGACCCCATCTCATTGTAGTTCCATAGTCTGCAGAAACAAAAGTAGGTTTGTTTCCATATTGGTTAGGTTCTGAATGAACTTTAAACAATGTTTCATTTCTATATGTTTTGGTGAAATTTAACCTTTTATTTTCACCGAGTTCAGCCAAAGATTGAACGTTATATGGTCGTAAGTAAAAAGGATTGTTGTATTTGCGTACACTTTCTTTCAGTACTTCCATTCTATGCTGAATATTTTCATCTGATGTTGGAGTCTTTTGTATGTCGGCGAACATTTTTCGATATTCTTCTACTATGTCAGCCGAATTTTTCTTAGACTCTTGGAAAGATTCCATATTCTCCGCATACTCTTGTTGAGGGTCAAGATTTTTCGGCTGTTCCAAATCTTCATCTAGTTCTGTGAAGTTAGTTTCCAAAGGAGGGACTTGTTTGTTTCCTTCAGGCTCTTCTAGCTGTTGTTGCTGAACTATTTCTTCCATGTCTGGTTGTATCTGAACTTCTTCCTGTGGAGTTTCTTGTACCTCATCTGCTGGCATTTCATATATTCCGAGACCGTTTTTAACAAGTTCCCTATTTAAGTCATCCGCATTCATAACCCTTTCTTCTTTCGTTCCGTCTCTATTTTTTACGCGTTTCATGAAGATAGTTGAATTATCATTTATCTCTGACACCAAATATCTCGGAGTAAATTCATTCATGTCATTTGGATGATATGCTATTAAATCATATCCCTTAGCGAGCTTGTATTTTCCAGATTTGAAATTATATCCCATTTGGTGCTGAACCATAAAGCTAAATAGGTTCGGGTCAGTATTTCCTTCCTTGAACTTTCTAATAGCTTCTTTATATCTGTCACTAAAGTCAAGAGTATCTGGGTAACCATAATTTTCCTTAAGCATTTTTAAGAATTCTTGGTTTCCTTGTTCTCTACTTCTTTTATGTCCTTGCTCTGTTTGTGGTTGTTGCTGTGCAGTGTTTTGAACTGTTGGTTGTGGTGCAGTGTTTTGAACTGTTGGTTGTGGTGCAGTGTTTTGAACTGTTGGTTGTGGTGCAGTGTTTTGAACTGTTGGTTGTGGTGCAGTGTTTTGAACTGTTGGTTGTTGTGTTGGTTTTGGTGCATGCCTGTGTCTGTGTCCATGTGACGATGTAAATGTTTTAGGTAGTCCTGGTGCAGGTGCTTCTCTTGGAGGGTTTGGTGGTATATAAGTTCCACTAGCTAGTATATAAGTTCCACCAGCTGGTATATAAGTTCCACCAGCTGGCACATATGTTCCATCTGCAGCATAATGTCCTACCTGACTTTTCGTTTTTAAGAAAGCATTTACTAGGTCTGTTTTGGTCTGTTGTAACTCTTTTTCTTGACTTTCCACAACAGTTGCTCTAACGGCGTCATAGGCACTTTGAACTGCCTGTCTCGTTGCTGCATCTGTTATTTTCGTCATATTTTGTGCTACTTCTCTTAACTCGTTGTCGAAACCTTCAGACTTCAGTTTCTTTCCAGATGAGAAGTCGTTCACTAGTTTCACCTTACTATGAAGAGCTTCGAAGGCGTTCTTAAAGTCAGCATTCATTAAAGCTTCATTTGAACTGTCTTCATCCGCTTGTATTTTTGTCCTTATTGACCCTATAAGTTGGGCTGCTTTGGCGTTGGCTTGGGCATCTAACCAGTCATTATTAGCTTTTATATATTCTGCGCTTTTCATTGCCTTTTGCATGGCTGCGTCGTTATTTTTACTTTCTTGTGCTAAGTTTTCATACTGTACGGTTTGGTTTTGCAACTGTAAAAGTTTTTCTGCCTTTACATTTGCTTCAACTTCTTTTTTATACTCATCGCTATCCATATATGTCTTCAGGGCTTTTTGTTTTATTTCTTCATCTTTCAGTACTTTATATTGAGTAGTATGGTTTTTCAAATTTATAACATCTTGTTCCATTTTTGCTACTTCTGCTGCTTTTCTGACACTTTTTTTGCATATTCCTCTGTACTTAGTTCTTTCAGTTGTTATTCTTTCTTCTTTTTCTCTACGTTTAACTCATTGAGTTTCTTTGTGTGTCTGTCATATTCTAGTTTCTTTTCGTTTTCACTTATTTGTTTCTGTATGTCTATGTTTGACTTTTTGACATCTGTTATTTGATTTTTGAGTGAACTCAAATTCATTTGACTTTGAGGGTTATAAGCTGTTCCGTCTGCAGCTCCACCATAGCCTGCCATTTTCGCTAAAAGTGCCGCTCTTAAACCTCCACTCTGTGCACCAATAACTCGGTTTAAAAGCATAGGGTTGCTTGACATTTGTTGCAACATAGTGGGGTCATTCATCATTTGTTGTTGCAACTGTTGTTGTGGTGTCAGTTTTACTATTGGATGTTTCAATGCTCCCTTCCTCTTACGTATATTCTTACGTAGCTTACGTGGCATTTTAAGTGAAGTAAAAAACGGTTTTTGACAGATGTTTATATGACACTTTTTGTTCAGCACAAAAAACTACTCGGTCAAAGTGTTGTCAGTTTTGTAAAATAACCGTCCTATCTCATTCTATAAGGGGGAAAGTCTTCTCAAAGTATACTTCCTTGGAACGCCTGTAACTTTTCCTGTAGCGACGATAGACCCTTACTTGTCCGGACAAAGTTATACTAAACATCTTCAGGGCTAGAGGGCACGAAGTGCCTGGAGGCCCCACTACCTTTTTTTTTTCTTTTTGTGCAATGACACCAATATCAAGTCAGATTATATACCAATATTCAATAAAATAAACATAGGTTTATGTATTTATTATGTATGTAGGATTGTTTCTTAGCATATATTAGAATAAACTACTATTTTTAATCTCATTTTATTTCGTATTTCAAATTTTAAAACTCAAAATAGAAAAAATAGCTTTACATCATTAATGCAATCCATATTAAATATTTAATTTCGGTGTCAAGCATAGCGCCAAAACTTTTCCCGCCAAAACGCAATAGTGCCATAATCTCATGGTGGAACACAGATGGGGCTTTGCTACGCAGCCTTTGATCTGGCCAATCATAGTGCTGCTCCCATCCACATCAACAAGTGATTTCGGCGGAAGATCTCCAATGGAGTTTCCATGATGGTTACGCAAGCCAGAAGCACAATATCTATGCAGCCTGGCTGCTAGGATAGCGTAGCTAGTCTGTGTAGTTATTGTGCTTCTGGCGATATTAGTTATACGCTATTATCCTCATTAATTTAGCTTCTCCAGAATCCATAAATATTCCTTTTATTTAAATTTGAATCGTGCTTGACACATTGAGTTCAAGACAAATAAACGTGTTTCATGAGTATTTAACATGAAAATTAATGGAAGGTATGCGATAAATTCGATTTCAAGTAGGGATAACAAATTATCCAGAGAGGTTGGCCGGACAATTATCCGGCGTTCTCTATGCCAGTACATTTTTCTATTGAAACACGTCCTATTTATATCGTTTCTTTTAACTTACAACAAGTTCTTAGTTTATCAATTTCCAGAACTGTTTAATTTTGCATGTTAGATGAAGAAATAGCACAGACGTAAAATGTCAATGCTAACTCACATAAGAGGAATAAACTATAAATTTTGCAACAGATAAAAAGTCAAAACGATAAATTTCTTTCAAAAAATCCACACAAATTAATTCCCATTTTATAATAGATAGACATTGCATAGTTCTACAGAATGCAATTAAAATCAAGGTAAAAAATTTTGACAGAGCGTCTCCTCAAAAATGAGAAAAATTCGGGAAAATTTATGATTAATGCTAATTAACTAACACAGATCTCATTTACTTATAAAAAAATGTTGGTTAAGAAATTACGGTTTTGTAAATTTTGGCGGTTTCAAATTTTTCAAAAAGTTGTGGCTGAGCGAATAACATGAAGTGGAACAATAGTCGCGTATTATTTAATGTCAACCAAGAGATGGCTGCCGTGTTAAATTCATCGAGCAACCTTCATTCGAAGCTTGATTGCTTCACAATCGAAAAAATTGATCCTAATATCAAGATACCAATTAAAATTGGTTACGGAACCCCAAGTTCATTGACTGGAGTATCAACGATTGCAGCTAACCCTTCTACAAAACATTTTTCAATCCTAAAGTCAACTATTTCTTCTGCTTTTCCTGATTACGATTTTACTGATCTTGGCACCTCTGATTTCAAGAGGATTATTGCCACCGAACAGATAAAGTCAAATATTAGCTGGCAGTTGTCATCTTCTCTGCCTTCTGCTACTAATTTAGAAACTCATCTTTGGCAAGCCATTGAAACTGAAATATCACCAAATTCTTGCGACATTTATCAATATGAACCAGAGTCTGCTGACGTTTTCAGTGAAATGGGCGCCATTTGGAATTATACTTATTTCTTCATCAATGAAAAGCAGAAGAAAGTACTCCTCTTGCATCTCCGTGAAGGTGCACACGATTTCGGATCCGAATCAGGTAGCGAGGATATGTTCGACGAATGTGATGTTATTAATAATCACTATTCCTACAATGTCTTTTAAATCCGAACCCGGAAGAAGATCATCTGTAATAATAGTTATGTTTGATTGTTAAAATATCCATTTTTACATACATTCTTTCTTTTTTCCTGCATCACAAAAAATGGTCTAAAATTGAATACCTTACAAATTTTGTGAGTTATAGAGTTTGGCCATTTTGTAACGATTTGCATTTCTATATCTATAGCCTATTTCTGTTTTAATATGAATTTATGTCTTTGGTCGATCAAGGATTATAAATTATTTATAACGGTCGGATTTTGAACCCGACCATCTCCGATCCGCCTTTCATTCCAAGCCTACATATTTGTAAAAGTATTAAAAACATTCAATTTTATAAGCATCTATGGGAACACATTCTCATCCAATATAACCCTTGATATTGGATAGTTTCGTTGGTATAATTCGTTATAAAATAGAATATAGCATTTGCTGTAGAGTAAATACTAGTATAATGACATGTTTCGAAATTGTGCATTTTATCATTTTGAGTTTAGCGATCATTGTTTAATAAATAATGAGTTATTGCCAATAACTAGCATACATTTAGCCAAATGCACTTATAATATTTCAATTTTAGTAATTCCTAAAAGGTGACCAAACTATTTTTTGAAAGTCCGCCATAACTTTAATGGTACTATTTCAGCGTGTTCAATGAATACAAAAATTCTAAGAGTGCCACATAAAATAGTACTTTAGACTTGAGTTAATGCTACCAAGCAAATGTTAAAAAGATGACTTTAGTGTTTTGATAATCAAAGATTAAAATCATTATTGTCTAAATCAATAATCATAACGACAGAAGTTAATGTTTTTTCATAAGTGCTTTAAATCCACTTTTAAAAGTATACCTCAAAAATCAAAATATCAAAAAAAATTGGCCGATAGGTTTGGCTTTAATTTTTGTCTGCTTTTATGATTTGATATGGATGTTATAATTTTAAAAGTTGAGCCAAATTCACCAATAGATTTTTGAGATTTGCAAATACTCAATAATTTTCAGCGTGTTATCTTTTATTAAAAGAACTATTTGGTTTCAGTATCATATAAATTGATATTTACTTTCTATTTGAACCTTCATTTAGCTAATGATTTAATAATACAGATTTCATCTAGTCCTTATAAGAGAATTTTGAATTTGTTATAATAAAAAAACAAACAGATATAGCTTACACTTCTATAATAAAGATACCTTTTATAGAAATCAGTATGAAATGTGTTTTGGCTTATTGGAAGCATATCAGACATAATCGCCATAATCAAAAAATCTATATACCCAATAAGTAATAAATTTGTCGATATAGATTTTCCATAAAATTAGTTTTTAGTCTGATCTTAAAATAAATTTAATTTTTTATAAAAAAAATCACATTTAAAAGTACCTTTTTAGTAGCTCGAAATCCTGTTGGTGGATTTCGGGCGTACTTCAAAATTAGCTTTTCTTCTACATATGCAAGCTATATTTTAAATATGGGGCAAATCGGATCGGCGAAAGGAGTTTAGTTACCTTTAATTCCTATGAAGTTTCATGTTCTAAGCAAAATTGCAATTAAAGATTATCATCCTACAAAAAATTAAGCAGTTCGATATTATACACACAATGAAATTCATATTTTCTATTTGAATTCTGATTTGATATTTTGTTTATGATAGGAATGGAATGATGATGAATCTCTATTCCAGGAGGTATCCAAACCCTTATGCATTATGCTGATAATTCATGTTGAATAAAGATTTCAAATCAAAAATCTTAAAAACTACAATACATTACCTATCAAAAATGATTAATTAGACTATGTAGTGCCTAGATTTGTTACTAGTAAAAATATCTATCGTGCACTGTTTAAAAAAAAATTCAAAAGACGTTTATGTCGAAGGAGATTTGCTACTCCCAGGAGATTGAAATAGAAAAGAGAGATATGCAAGACAATAGCATTGAAGCTATATTTGCCAATATAAAGATGATCAAAACTGTCGGCGATGACGGAAAAATGAGCGAATTAGATTTTGAAATCACATTTGATGCAAATCTTTATACATTACTACGTGCTCATTATGATGCTCAATCTTTTGATAAGCTTAAAGAAGAAAAACAACTTTCAATTGATTTTGAACAATTCCCAGAGGAAGTTGCAACACTTCTCAACAACAGCCAGAACAAGTTTTCAAAGAAATCACCAAAACGTGCAGATCCTGACCAGATTGAAAACGCTGTTTACTTTGTCACAACAAATGAAACTTCTGGATACTTAATTTTCTTGGATATCTTATCTTTCAAGGAGGTTGAGATATTTAGAATTGATTTCACACAAGTTGCAGATGAAGAATCACATCTTAGCGCACAACAAAAGTTTACAAAAGTAAAGAACGACTTAAAGAAACAAACCTTAATGCTAAAGACATTGTACAAAGAAATCACGAGCCAATGCCCATTTATACTCGAACTTATTAGGAGGCAATAAGATTTTATTATATTATTAGAATATTGTATCTTCTATTTTAAAAGGACATATTGTTTTATCTAATTACACTTTATTTTATTCTAGTTCTAACTTTTACACAAGTAAAACAAATGAAATATGATAATTAAAGGAATCTTATGAGTTCTCATTATTTGTACAAGTGTAATTAATCTTTTTAATGAACGTACTTATCTCTATTACATTTATAGAGCTTGATAAATCAGAATTAACGTTGTAAATCGCGATTACAAACTAATCTTTAGGAATTGATGTTATTGATTGCGTAAAAATATTAGTGTTTATTTCCAGTAGAATGCTGGAGATTAAATCGACGAATAAAATATATTTTGAATAAAAGTAGTATGATATGACGGGTTGTGTGACTTTTTTTGTAAACGTAAGAATTCATACAATATCGAGCGATTTTATATCATTTTTTTTAACATATGAAGTAAAAAATATATGATTCTTACGGTTTTTATTCTTACGTTTTTGAATAAATCAAGATTTATAAATCATTAAAAAATTAACATTAATTTTAAAATAATTTATTTTTTATCTTTTATAAAAGAAGCTATATATAGATGATGTCAGATATTCCGCGATTAATTAAACATTGTTTAAATCCTGAATGGGTTAAACTTCAATTTAAAAATGAAGATTGTGAATTATTAAATGAATATGAAAGCCAAAATAAGCTAATGATTATTTGAATTTATGAAATCAATTATTTGATTCATGGAATCAATGGAGTCATAATCAAAGACCTCATAAACGAGAAGAAGAAATTGAAAATAATGAAATGGAAATCATTGATGACATTAAAGAGGATGGAATTCCTAAATTTTGTAGAAAAACCTTTAGAACTAAGTTAGGAGCATATAAACGTAGAGTATTAAATCCTGAATACATAAAACATTTATTTAAAAAGGAAGACTGTGAATTATTAAACGTTAATGAATATGAAACCAATAAATCAAAATTGAAAGGTGTTGGTTTACGACAAAATAAACAATTAACACCTAAAAATTATTTGGATATAATAAATGATAAAGTTATTTTCGATGGTCAGAATATTAATTTACAACTTAAAAATGGGTCAATGACTCGCTTAACAATCGGTAAGACTGCATTAACAGGAGCACACACTAAGGCTGTATGTTGTGAAAATGGATGTTGTATGCCATTTATTTAATACAATTTAAAATTTTATTTTTAATGAAATGCCACAGAAGAGACAAAAGGAACCGTTAATGATGCGATTCAATATGTAAATAACGGTTTTGATACTATGATTCAAAGAGGTGGGCACCCTTAAACATTTATTTTATTTTTATATAAATGGATAACACAGATTTAAAAAATTTAATTTATGATTTAGTACTTAATCAAAATTTTCTTAGTTATTATGAATTAAAATCATATCTCCAAAAATATGATAACAATATAACGGGTGATGATATGGAATATTATTATCCATATTATAAAAATGAAATTTTGAAATATCATGATAAAATAATTTCTAAAATTAAAGACAAAATTAAAAATAATTAATATACAAAGGGAAAAACTAAATCACAACTTAAACAATTGAAAGATTTCAAAAATAAAGTATTAACAGAAGAAGATATTGATGAATTATATAATTTATATAATCCTGAGCCGCAAAAGCCAAAGGAACAAAAACAAAAGGTGCAAAACACCCAGGTCCTTCAGACCATAAATGAAGCACAAGCTTTAATTTATGATTCATTAGTTAAACCATATTCAGCCCGACTTTTAAATGAAGATCAACTTTTGGAATTCATCCTTCAACATAAACTCGAAGCGGGAAAGTATATCAAACCTTTATATACAGCATATTTAAAACAAATGAATAGAATACATCCAGAATTAATGAAGGGGGGAATGAAATCCAAAATCAAAGCAGATAAAATTAAACCACTTGCAACACCAAAACCTCCAACGACAGTACCGCCTCCTCCTTCAGTTAATCCTTCATCATTCACTTTATTATATCCATTTCAAACATTAAAGAAGCAAAAAGATTTTAAAAAGGATTTCAAAATATTAAATAAACCAACTGACCCAAAAATTCAACCGTTAAAGGAAAAATTTAGTCGCCCTTCATTTGCACCATATCCATATTCATACGAAATCGATCATCTGGAATATTCAAAAGGAAACGTTACTTATTTATTTGCCATTAACATTAACACTAGATATTTATATTGCATTCCGGTGAAAGGGAAAACAGAACAGGAAACAAGAAGAGCTATACAATACTTACTAGATCATGAAAGAGTAGATAATATCAGGGGTGATGGTGATAAAGGATTTCAGGCAGCTATGGCTCATTATTTCCCACAAATTAATTTTTTCTTTTCATCCTCTCCATATACGTTTCATAATAAAATAGTTGATGCGGTAATGAGAACTCTTAGAGATGTGTTAGGGGTTAACGGTCAGATATACTGGGATGGAAATCATGACTCCATCATACAACAGTTAGTATATTATTACAATAATACATGGCATAGAACTATAAACATAAAACCAGTGGAAATGAAAAATGGTATTTCAAAAGAATGGGAATATATTAGAAAGCAAATGGAAAGGTTGAATGATGTTAAACGTGAACAAATTAATTCGGGGCTCATGAATTTTAAACAAGGGGATAAAGTTTTGATTCATCTCGATTATGGAAAAACTGATAAATCAATGACAAAAAGAAGACGAAGATTTGACACAATAGCTGAATTTGTTAGATATATTAACGGTAATGTATTAGTTGAAGTTGACAATAAATTAATAGAAATTCCAATTTATTTTATTACTCCATTATATTTAAATAATATTTAATTTTTTTATTTCGTAAGAAATGAGTGACAACAAAGCAGCCAAGAGTCCTGATTCAATTAAGATTCAGAGTCCAGACGATGAATATAAAAAGAAACTAAACAGAATTAAATCAAAAATATGCTATTACAAAAAGAAGCCGCAATGCGGTGGGGCTGATGCCCATAAAACTAATGGAACTGAAAACGATGAAGAGAGGAAAGAAATAATCGAAAAATTAGAAACTTACCGTTCAATCCTTAAACTGGGTGAAGCAAAAATAAAAGAATTTAATAGAATAAATAAATTGATTGGAAGAGATGAATTTAATAAAGATGAATTTTTAAACTCAATCCAAATTTAATTTTTATTCCTCTTCGACAACGTCTCGAATAACTGAAGGTGTCACTATGTCACCATGTCACCAGGTTATTTAACTTCTCTTAAAAATGATGACAACATGACATTTTGACAACACAGCGGGACGAAAGGAGGAAGGCAGTTATGAATTATTTTTGAATAACTGAAGGTGTCACTATGTCACCATGTCACCAGGTTATTTAACTTCTCTTAAAAATGATGACAACATGACATTTTGACAACACAGCGGGACGAAAGGAGGAAGGCAGTTATGAATTATTTTTGAATAACTGAAGGTGTCACTATGTCACCATGTCACCAGGTTATTTAACTTCTCTTAAAAATGATGACAACATGACATTTTGACAACACAGCGGGATTAATGCAAAAATAAATTCCAATCATACTTTATAAAGCTTCATTTACAGGTATTTCATCGTCAGTAAATGAATCCTCATTATCGTTTGGTTCAACCTGTTTATATAATCCTTTCATTTCTTCTTTCAAAACATAACACCATGTTTGTTTACCATCTATTCTTCTTTGTTTCCTATCACATTTATCCTTAATGCTCATTTGGAAATTCTTGTCTTTCATGTCTGATGGTTTGCAGAATAGAGCATTTTTACATGTCATACCTGCACACAATTCATCATAATGTGTATTTATCCATACATCTAAAGGATTTGTTGATAATTCTATTAAATCTTGTTTGGCTTCAGTCATCGGTATGATTCGTACATTAAATGATGAAAGGTCATATTGCATAAAATACGTCAGTAAATTATCATAAAATTCCTTAGTGCATGAATCCATTAAATTCTTGAAGTAATCAAATTGACCCTTGAATTTACCATTAACTCTTAAAACTACGTATCTTCTGTCTCCAACTTCAATTTTGACAGGGTAGACGTTATTAGTTACCAAAATGAAATTGGCAAATTCTGAGCAGTTCTTCTGGGTTGATTCTTTTCATTAATTCTAATCTCATTATCCGTAATAATTGATTTCAAAGCGTTGAAGTTTGCGAGTCTATCTTCACCTACATTCTTGAGTTCATTAAGTACAAGAAACATTTTATTCTCAACTACTGAATTGAAATTACCCGTTAGCTCACTTATTTCGGTAATGTTTTTACATGAATAACCGGCGAGAAGTTCAGAAATAATATCTGTAAATCTGTTTTTACCTGTTCCCTGAAGTCCTTTCAAAATAATTGCTGTTTCATTCTTGATTCCAGGATGTTGAATCATTGATGCAATCCAGCCGAGAAGGTATTTATACACTTCATCGTTATTATCACAAATGGCTTCTTTAATGAAATTCATAAACATCTCAATTTTTGAGTAATCAGGCTTTTCGAGAACGATGTATTTATAACCTTGAAACGTTGAGAAAACATCTGGAGAATCAGATTTAAAGCAAACACCCTTAACGGTTAATGAGGATAATTGATTTAGTAGTACGTCCCACGCTGTTATGGTTTTACCTTCTTCTTTAAATAATTTAATCATTTTAAGTGACTCTTTCATGTTTGATTGAAGAACGAATGATATTTGATTCATTTTGTCGTGGATATTATAGTCCTTTTGAATGAAATATTTGTTTCCACAATCTACAAAACGGATTACACGTGATAAATCCTCAATTACTTCAGAACTGTTTTTATACTGATGATTTTCAGCCCTGCGTCTAATATCCGTTATCAAAAACGAGTCATCAAGTTTGATATCAAATGTTATTTTTGGCTTACGTAATAAAGGTAAAACATATTCATCATAATATTCCTTTTGGTATAGTTTTAGAATCTTCACTAAAACAAATGGAGAAGTCATTAAATGTGCATATCTACTACGTGCTTTTTCAAAATTACTTTTTGCATTTTCAGTTAAGCTGCAGAAGTTATAAACGTTATCGTATGCTTCATTAATTAAATGATTAGGTAACGAATTAATTGCTTGAAACAGTGTGAATAATGTTATTTCTTTTTCTAAATTCATGTTTCCACCGTCATTATGTACTTCAAAATCACTGATGCCATCAACTATGCTCTGGGCAAGTTTATCGTCAATGTTTACATCTTTGTTTTCATTCGTGATAGTCTTTATTTCTTCGTTCTTCTGTTCAACTCTTACCTTAATATTCAAATCATTTAATATATCATTCACTGTTCTAGTTAATGTTGAATCATAACTTCCACGAATGAATGAGTATGTATTGATTGGTTCTGTTGCATTCTTGCGAACTCTTGAATCAGCCATGACTACTAATGAACGCTTTGAATCATCCATAGAAGTCATTATATCAATATCATAATCATTGCAGGAATAACATTTAATCATTCTGTTCGAAACTGCATAGAAGAAATTAGTGTTGCAATAAATGTGAAGACCTCCTGAAGCGGTTTTAACGATAACATCTTTATCCGAAAGTTTTGATAAAATATCTTTTCTAACTGTTTCTTTAAGTTCATCATTGTATGATTTATTGATATCAACATCTATAATCGTTAAATTTGATATTTTATTTACTAATAAAGCCATAGCAGTTTTCCTTCCTCTTCCTCCATCATGTTTGAGGTAGTTATGTAAATCAATCTTGTTTTCACCAATTCTTTCGTTGAGGGTTTTAGTTTCTGCCACAACTAATTCCTCAGCTAATGAATCAATAACTTGTTCATCAGAAATGATATACTTGCTGTTGTTGTTTGTTGCTGTCATTTATATAGGAATAAAAAAATAAAAATAATTTTAAAACTAACTTTATTTTTGGGCTGCATCATATTTCCAGGACTGTTGTCAAAATGTCATGTTGTCATCATTTTTAAAAGAAGTTAATTAACCTGGTGACATGGTGACGTGGTGACACCTTCAGTTCTTCAAAAATAATTAATTATTGAATAACCTAAAAACATGAGACTTTGTCTCCGGACTCTTTGAGTCACTTAACGATAAAATATATTTTTGGGTCATGGGCTATGCCCCGCCACGTTGCGTCTTTATGACAAAAATAAATGGTTCATTTACTCACAATATTTTTGTACAAAACGACCCCAAGCTTTTAACTTCTTTTCTGCAGCTTCTAATGCTATCTTAGCGAGTTCATATTCTCTAAATTCTCTCTTTAAATTTTCTTGTTCCCATTGGTCTAGTTCGAATGGAGAATCTCTATAACCATAACATAACTCACGTTCATGTTCTAATTGTTTTTCGCGCATTTTTAACTTCTTGTTCGAACAAAGGTTTAGCATTCTCTACTGTATCTTCAAGTTCTTCTTCATCTAATTTCTCATGAACTTTCTTGTCTATGGAGTCCATAATTTTTCCAACTGCTATGCAATATTTTGGAGAAGCCCACATTGCTATATAGTTTATAAGTCTTGGGTCTACATACGTTCCTCTAACTTGTTTGATTTCATCAGGAATTCCTGCATGAATTTTGTATAAAAAGCAACCGCCGGAATTCGGACTGTTGCTATATTCTTCACAAAATGCCTTATAATACTCTTCCCAGGACTTATTTTCCAACAACTTTCTAAAGTCTTTCCTAAACTGCTGACACATATTTGTTGCATTAATGTAACCATCCTTGTCTCTACGTAAGACTTCAATACCGTTATAAGTGCCTTTTGTGAATGTTTCACCATTAGATTTGTTCGTGAATTTCCTTAAGATAGAAAAAATAATGTTTATGTTAGCATGTTAGATCTAACACGTTTTCTAACCACTTTTCTAACATAACTATTTACAAGCGTTTTACATGGTATATGTTGCGATGGTTCATGACTTTAAACAGTTTTGTAGCTTCTATTTCTTCACGAAGAATATCAAAAATTTTAACTATGCCGAAGGTTTCTTTATACTTCTTCTTGACATCAGATAATAGGAAATCGTCAGCTGTTGGATAGTTTTTGTTCAGAAATGCTAACATGTCCATTTTATCTTCGGCTGGTTTCTCTACTTCTTTCTTTAAGTCAGCATAGTCGTTTCGCATACGTTCTATCTCTTTGACGGAGTAGTTATATTTCCTTATTGCTGCTTTACATTTTGAACATTGCGGATTCATTTTTGCGTTATACATTGAAATTTGACCTGCTAGAACAACTAAGGCGTCAATGGTTTTCTTTAACTCAAAAGTTGTTGGTTTTATTTGTCCATTCCATATTTTACATCTTTTATCTTTATCTCTTATCTGCCATACACATTCAGCAACTAATGAAACAAAGTTGTCGTATGTCTTAAACTCCCCAGATTTATATATGTCAGAGATGTTCTTATATACCATGTCGCAATCTTTGTCCATAACTTTATGGTTGCAATGATATCCTAGAAACTCATAGTTTACTTTACGTATGAACTTCTTTATTTCTACTGAGTCAGTTGGTTTCACTTCTATTTCATCGAATTCATGAATAGTGAGCTTTTGTTGTTGGATTTCAGGCAATTTGGGTAAATGGTCAATAATGTCCTGCATGTCATAAAGATACTGTTCATTTGTTTCATCTTTCGCACTACAGTCTAAATTACTTGTTAAAAGTTCTTGCTTAATTCTTTGTATTTCTGTCTCAAAAGTATAGGGTGTCCAAAGGTGCGTTTAGCACAGCGCTCTATATGAGACTATTAAAGGAGATATATGCTGATTATAAATATATAATAAAAAATATGAATATATGTATATGATGAGTATGTTGTATTTTGGCGCCATGCCGGGATATAAAATGAATTTTGAGACAAGAGGCGGTTTCGCGGGAAATTTTGGCGGGATTTTTTTCATTTTTTTAATGAATCATAAAGAAAACATCCTCGCTCTTGCAAAAAAATGCAAAGACTGTAAAAAAATCTACGAGACATTGGTAAAATGCTTCGGTATGGATGCTCCTAGCTATTCCACTGTAACGTATCATGTTAGGATGTATCACTTCATGAACAAAAAGGCGCCCATCATAAAAATTGACAAAAAATCGCCGGATCAAAGAAAAATCAAAGCAATTCTTCAAGCGCTAGATGAAGACCCAAGAGCATCACTCAGAAGGATAGAGGAGATGACAAAGATACCACGTACAACAGTCAGTTATTATCTGCACAATTATTTGAACTACAAACTAGCGTATACACGTTGGGTTCCGCACAACCTTAATTCAGTTCAAAAAAAATCTAGAGTCCAATCTTCGAAGAGCTCCTCTCTATATTGCGTGCGTATCAATCCAAGAAGTTTCGCTTTTTAGTAACAGGGGACGAGTCTTGGTTTCAATATGCAACAGAAGCCAAAATCATGTGGATCCCGAAGGATGAAAATCTGCAAACATTCCCGAAGAAAAAAATTGACACACCAATGATGATGTTGTCGGTTTTTTGGGGCGTGAATGGCATCATCGCAATTGATATTCTTCAAAAACCTAATACGATGAATGCTCAGTATCTAATTGACAATGTTCTTACTCAAATTATCAATTCTGATGAGTTTGAGAAATCCAAACAACAAAAACAAAAGTTTGCAATTCATTTTGATAATTCAAGAGTTCACAAAAGTCATAAGGTAATGAATTACTTGGTGGAAAACAATGTCAAAGTTGTTCCAAACCCAATTTATTCACCTGATATTGCACCCTCTGACTTTTATTTATTCGGCACGCTAAAAAAGAGAGCTGAAGGACGCGAATTCGCGAGTCCAGATGATCTTGAAAATTTTGTAAGAGAGCAATTTGAGCAATTTTCTCATGATGATTTAAAGCGTATCTTTCAAGCCTGGATCGATCGCTGCGAACGCGTGATTGAATCCAATGGTGATTATATTTAAATAAACTTTATATATATGTAACTTGTTTATTTCTATTCGCAGTATTCAGGTTTGTGCTAAACACACCTTTGGACACCCTATATATGAAGAAGGAATGAAGCTTTTCATCTCTACTAACATAGATGTTGGATTCATAACTAAAGAGTTTGGTGAAGTTGTTGTTTGAAGTGTTGTAGAACCTATTGTTGAAATCATATCTTTACATACAAGATAAAAATTTTTCTTAGAAAAAAATTAGCGTTATTTTTCTTTCATAAGGAAATGTCAAAAATTCATGATTTTCGAGAGTTTTAGACCATGTTAGAAAAGTGGTTAGAAAACGTGTTAGATCTAACATGCTAACATAAACATTATTTTTGGGTCATGGGCTATGCCCCGCCGCTTTGCGTCTTTATGTTAAAATAAATGGTACCATTAATGATATCATGACTGTTCTCGTTCATGTCTGATTTACATCCAACGAAAAAGTTTAGAAGAATTTTCTTATTCTTTCTGGCATGTTTTTATCTTTCCAGTACTCCCGCTCTAATGGTCCCGGATGTGTTGTCATCATTTTTAAAAGAAGTTAATTAACCTGGTGACATGGTGACATAGTGACACCTTCAGTTCTTCAAAAATAATTAATTATTGAATAACCTAAAAACCATTAACGTAAACATTAACGTAAACATTAACGTAAACATTATTTCTGCAGTTCATCCATTAATTAAGATCTAAACATCCTGAAACCCATTCTGTATCAGCTTTAACTTTAAAAGTCTCAAATGTCCATTCATGATACCATTCAACCTTTTCTTTAATTTCATTATCTTTTTCATCAACATAAACCAAATTTGCCTTCTTATTTAACTCACTATCCACATATTCCTTATCCACCCTCTTCATTATGTCATTTAGGAAACCTTCTATGAATTCCTCATTTAAATTAAATCTTCCAATCTTCAAAACTTTAGGAAATGCATTTAATGCGTAATATCTCTGTTCTTCTGGTGGAATTGATGTTATATCATCCGTTATTCCTTTAATTTTTGAATTCATAAATAAAATTTCTTTTATATTTGATATCACTGCACCACCTTTGCAAACGAATTCGAAATGGTCATTTTTCAATACTATCTCCAAATCTCCATATTTCAACCTTTGCGTTTGTTCTGCCGTCTTTGAATTATATGCATATATGTCGTATGTAATGGTCTGAAGGACCTGGGCGCTTTGCGCCTTAAGTTGTTGTTGTTTAATCATTTATTATGATTTAAAAATAAATATTTAATCCGTTATCTCATCGGCTATTTTCTCTATTTGAAATTGCCATAATATTTCATTCATAAATTCTAAATCACAATCAAATAGGTCAGTTATTCTAAATTTAATATTTGATAAATCTTTTGAATGAAGAATAAATGAATTCCCGGATAATTGAAACGGATATGATAAAGAAAATGTGTTTAAGTTGATGGATAAAATGTTTTGTATTGATGGGTAAGAGTTAGGGTCTAATGTTTGATGTGAAAATCTCATTGGGGTATTAACTTTATCACATTTGATTAAAATGAAATTGGAACCAGTGTCAGAATACAAAACATCCCCAACATCTTTTTCAAAATTTAATATCCCCAACAATGAACGAAGATGAGGAGTACAAAATTTAATTTTCAGCGGGAATTTAATAAGGTTATTTATTTCATCAAGTTCAAAAAGTTTATCGGGTTTTGATTTAAAATTTTCTTCATACCATACGATAAATGATTCATTTAAATAACTTAAAATCATGTTAATATCCCATTTCGCTATCACATTATTTATATACATATCATACGTTTTTTCAAGGTCATCTTTAATAAATGATATATAATCTGAAGGGTCTAAAAGAATGGGATTAAATTTACCACTCACAGAAACGAGAGTAACATTATAAATTCCGCTAACTGTTAAATTTAATTCACAGTTATTATTCGAAATAATATTGATAATTGACATTTTTATTACGATTAAAAATATGGTAAAGCGTTATTTTCCAGTGATAAATAAAACTAGAATAAGATTACCTCAAGAATTCATAAATTCAACGAATAAGAAATTCATTCATGTTATAAATTTTAGTGTTTTCAGAAAATATGAGTCAATGTCATATTCATCAACAGGTTATATTTCAGTTCATTCAAATTTAGTTCAATCAAACCCATATAATGACCATTTCATAAGATTTTCAGATGGTATTAAAAATGTAATTGATAGATTAAAATATGAACAGATTGACAATATCGAATTTTTGGAATTTTGGTTTAAATATCCCGATGGAAAAAATTGAAGTTAAAGATAAAGCTGATACTATAACAAAAACAATTACAATGACCGATCCGGATAGTGGGGAACAAAAAGAAATAAAACAAACGATAGAAACTGGTGAAAGGTCAATTATTATTGATTATGATTCAAAGGATTATTATTCGATAATGTTAATGCTTGAATATTAAATAGCCTTAACAAAGAATTTTTCAAGTGATATTTTATATTCATCAACTATTTTATTATAAATATCATTATATGTTAAATGAAGTTCAGTTGTTGTTCCGTTCTTTGATATCTTAATTGTGCTAATATCCTTTATAGGATTTATTTTTGCAACTGTTCCGCAGCATGAAACCTCATCATCTATGAAAAATTGAATCTTAACGTCTGAATCTTGAACATCACAAAGAATGGCGATAATGTGAATTAATGATTCATAAGGTAAAATAATTAAACCAGATTGATCAATTAAATTTATTATTGAATCATAATTATTAATTATTATATCACGGTAAATTTTCATTAATTCAGAATTAATGTCTATTTTATATGGGTTCTCGATGTTTGATGAAAGAGGTGGGGGGTATGTTGGATAAGTGGGAATTTCAACAGGTTCTTTACCAGGTTCAGATAAAATGATTGGGTCTCCATCTTCTTTATTTTGCTCCTCCTCCTTTTTCGGTAAGTCACGAGTTAATAAATTTGGTTGAGTTGCTGACCTTGTTAATTCGGGGCTAACATTAACTTTAACATTTTGAATAATTCGTGATTTATCATCATTTACGTTATAACCAACCGTAATCTCTGCTTTTGCGTTAGTGTTCTTTTGACTAGTGAAACGTCTTCTCATTTATATTCGAATAAAAAAATATATTTAAACTTTTATTTTGCTGGAACTTTTGAATCTATTATAGTTAGTATACATATCAAGGGTACGGCGGCACTGCGCGCCTCCTTACCCATTATATGTGAATTTGACACTTTACAAAACCGTTAACGTATATTTTACAACACTAACGACTTCACTAACGAATTCACTAATGTTTTCACAAACGACTTCACTAATGTAAAAATAAACGTTCTCACTTACAAAAGTATTGCAACTCCTCCCATTGCTGTGCTTCATATAACAGCTCATAATCTTCTGACTCACTTTCTTCTTCATATAGGTCAAAATCACTGTCAAAATAAATGTATGTAAGTTTTGACAAAGCTAATGAAACACGCTTACCGTTTGTATCGTATGCTTGTATAAACTTTCCATTCTTCATTCCTTCATAAACGCTCAAACTAACTTTACCCTTTCTCCCTCGTATCTGATAGAATGTATTTTCACGAGGAACGAAGAACAAGTTCTTGAACTCATGACCGTTGTAGTTTGTTATCTCAATAGTTTTCGTCATTTATAAAAATAAAATAAAAATAAACTTAAAAATAAACTTAAAAATTAATGATATCACCACCCTCACACGTATGAAAACATAGCGCAAAAATAAATTTAGGTGAAGTGGTGAAATCTCACCTCTTTTTTCACCTCTTTTTTCACCCTGTTGAATTCATTGCTTTATAACTCTCTTCCTTGGTTTCTTTTTAGTTGCTTTCTTCACGTCTGTCTCCAACTTGACTGTCTTTCTTCTTCGGCCGTAATGATACCAGTTACTTCCACCAGTCAATGGGTCAAATGGTCTTTCGTAAGGGTTTCCATACATTCCATAGGGACCATACGGAAGAACTACTGGTGGAGAAGAAACATTTTCTTTAGTTCCATCGACTCTATTTAAATGCATTGTTTCACCTTTCATCTGGTCATTAAAGTCTTTTGCGTGTTTTGCAAACTCATCGTCCTTTCCTAAAGCATTTTCTGACTCAGTCGCAACCAAATTGGATGCTTTATTTATGAGCCCTATTTTATTTAATCTTAACTTCTTTACAACCCAGCCTCCAATCTTCCCTTTATTTGCATCTAATGTCTTCGAAACCCTTCCTCCACTCATTTTATTTACTGCGTCATAAGCTCCAAGTGCTTTTGCTCCAAATGCTAATGCTTTTGTTCCCATTGCGCCTAAAGCTGCCCAAGCTACCATTTACCCCATATTAAAATCATCTCTCTTCAATATTATCTCATAAAAGTTCTCGTTACTGGAGAAAGTCAATGAAACATAAGCGTTCTCATGGGCCTCGCCCTCACCGCTTTGCGGTCTATCTAACTTATTTCTTATATCATCTATACGCTTCAAAATGTCTGAACAATTGCTAACATCTTCTACAACAGTTATTTCATCATGAATGACCTTCAAGAACAAGCTCATTTAATATGCAATTAAAATCATTTCAATAATGAGTCCATCCTTTCCATCTTTAGGTAGCACAACATCTTTCATTGAAGAAGGTTCGACAAGTCTTATGTTAAACTTACTGACAAAGTTTGTTATACTATAATGCTTCGGCGGCGAATACATATAGTTTGAAAGACATAATATAGATTCTTCAGCAAATTCACTTATACTGGATTTTATAACAATGTTCTCACGAGACCAAATGCCACCAATTGACAATCTTGTAAGCAATCCTGCTGAACCTTCTACTGTAAACGTCGATGGTAACATTCCACGAAGGTCATCTATTGACATCGTTGAGTCACTGTATTTAAATATTTTCTTAAAGCAATCGTCATTATCTAACCATGCAATAGCTTTGAAGTTTTCATTCGAATATACATCTGCTTCATTAAATGTAAATCCTGACTTCTTTGCAGAGATGACTTTAAAATCTATTGAGTTTGTTTCAAAATTATATGCTATGGTAACTTCTGAAGGTAATGGATGCCCTTCCGAAGTCAGTTGTTCTCTCACTACCGTTTGAAGCTTTGTAATAAAAACTTTCATGTCATCTCCTGTATCTAAGTTCACATACACAGCAACAGGGAAACTATCTTGCTTCTTTGTTTCATCATTATATCTCAAAACATTAAAGTTCTTCAATAATATTGTTCTTCCTGCTGGAATACTTCGAACCTGTCTGATTTCAATAGCTTTCTCACCTCCTACATACTCTACCCAGTGTCTTGGATATTCATAAGTATACTGACTTTCTTGAATTTTGGTTGGTTTCATCATAACATGTTCATAGTATATCTTTATACTCTTGTCAGTTAGACTCGGTGCTATGTTCTGAATATTTCTGACTTGCATTTTTAATGGAGATAAAATGAAGCATTTAATACATGATGTAGATGAAGACATGAATGAAACTACAGACAAACTTAACTCTTCTCTTATTCTTCCTTTCAGCAAAGATTATGAATTCTGTTCAAATGGTGTGTATTTCTATTGTGGAAAGATGGGTTCAGGTAAGACATTTAACCTCATTCGTCATATACTCATAACAGAGCGTTTAGGAAACGACTCTTACTATGACCAAATCATTATATCAGCAACTTCAGACTCTATGGATTCAACAGCGAAAACATTTATGTCAAAAGTTCAAGCCTCTGTCGTTAAAGTTCCAGACAGTGAACTCATTGAATTTCTTCAACGTTACATTCGACGTAAGAGGAAATATTATGCCATCGTAGAGTTCATACAGTCAGGAATGCAAAAGACTTCTGAGGAGATGGAAAGAATTATTGACAAACACCACTTACGTCAATACTCAGGAGTTTACGATATGAAACGACTTACAAACTACATTCTATCAAAACTTTCAAAATACCCCTTCAAAAAGTATCCTTCAAACACTCTGCTCGTTTGTGACGACTTCGCCGGAAAAGGTTTAGTGTCAAAGCCTGACTCACCATTAGCTAACATCATTACTAAAGTCAGACATTACCACTTAACTGTAGCAATACTTATGCAAACATGGAGGTTTTTAGCTTTAAACATAAAACGTCTCATAACTGACTTCGTTATCTTTCAAGGTTTCTCACGCTATGATATTGAACTCATTTGGAAACAGTCAGGTATAACATTACCTTTTGAAGAAATTTGGGAAGCATATAAGTCTCTCATCTCTCCTCGTTCATACCTTGAGATTCATATCATGACTAATACCATTAAAGTCAAAAATATTCCATGGGAACGACCAACATTGTTTTAAAGTTTAACCTTCAATTGACTGATGGTAAACAAATTCCATGCATCTCTGTCGCCATTTCTGTTAATATTTTTGCTGTCATTCATATCATCCACTTCCCCATCCGTTAGCTTTTGAGGATATGCGTTAGAATAGCTGTTCTTAAATGAAGGCTTTTCACCTTTGAGAGCATAAACTCTATAACTTTCTGCATACTTTATGTTTGAACCTCCTGAGCCATCATTGACATAAATTTTTATAGGCTTCCACCCTTTGTTCATATTCCTGCTTCTTCCCTTTGCTCTTTTGTTCAGTAGTTCTACATCTTTATACACAGCTCCTGTCTCAGTGAATTCAACAATATTTTCATTCGTTAGCTTTACATTCAAACCCTTGTCGAGTATATTGTTCATTTCATACATATAAAAGGTTTTTATTCTATATGAAATGAGAAGCAAATCCATCTTAGCTGGTGCCGTTAATGTTCCAATTGAACCAACATCAAATGTTGACTCACGAACGACAAACAATATTGTCATAAAGAACTATAGTTCGGAGTGTTTGAAAGAAAAAGAACCAGATCTTAAGTCGGTGAATTTAAACACAGCTTCAAACGCTAACGCTACATCAGATGTTAAGTTAGAGTATCCACCACTGGACCAAGTTCTTTCAAGAGAAGCCAACGACAACCCTTACACAAATGTTCAAACAAATCCTTCAGATAACGTAGACCATTACCTTCTTCAGTTATACCAAACAATTTTACTCAAAGACGATAAGAAGCTTTTGACAAATCTTATAAGTAAGAACCAAATAATTCTAACAAAGGAGGACCTTGAAAATGTTATCTCACGAATAACAGGGAAACAATGTGTCATTGACTATCTCGACCCTGAAATCGAATGCTGTGGTCAAACTCCACTATTCATGAAAATAGGTAACATCCGCATCATTGAAATACCAGGTACTCCAGGAGTTGAGTTTAAGTATAAATATTCAAACGAGTATACAAAACTATCTACTTACTATAAATTTGTTTAAATATGTTTTAGTAAATTAAAACAGTCAGGAGGCTCTTTGAGCCCATCTTGGCGCTTTGCGCCGTTAGTCAAAAAATTTTTCAAGTTAACAATTTGTAATATCTATCCAAAACTTCTTCAACAGTATTGAATTCATCTTCATAATGTAACCTAATCTTATTGACTTGGTGCAGTTTTCACTAACACAATATTTTTCTGTTCTCTTGACTGACATAACTAACTCATTTGTTTCATCAAACAGCAACAACCAAAGTTCATGACCTAATACATAACATTCATACTTTATATTTTTAGCTCTGAGTTCTCTTGTAAGCTGTTGCATTTAATATTTTCTAAAAAGTCAACTTCAACAGTCATTCGCACTGGTGCCTTCAGTTCTACAGGCTCTCCTTGAAAGTCAACAAGTCTGAATTGCATGTCTTTCAAATTATGAGGACTAATGCGAACCCATTTACCTAAATGAGTTGCTATGACAGGAACGTTTGGAATGAACATTGAATTGACTGCATAACAGAAAGACTTATATTCTACTGAACCTTTACTATTAACTCCTGAAATACCTGTGACATTAGCTATTTTTGACTCAATGTACAAACAATTACCATAACATACGTATGGAACAGATTTCATCTCAATCGTTTTGTCAACACTTTTCAAAGGAAATGTCATATGGTATGCACCCAAAAGAAGTTGTACTCTATGACTCATTCTTGGTATCTTAAACTCTTTCTCGCTGCTGAACTTCAATGTTCCCTCAGAAGAGAGTTCGACATCTATGTTGTCAATAGTTTCTTCATTTATGAGAGTATCTATGACTCCAGCAATTTTATCTATTCTATACCCAGCTCTATTAGGAAATGTTATAACACTTCTTTTGTCATCTATTTCAATCTCTATGAAATCTGTTTCATCTGTTATGACAAACGTTGCGATAGTATTGAAGTCAACAACTCTGAAAGCAAGCGCTTCATTCTGAAGACCTAAGTTTGTTTGTAGCTTTACTGTCCCGTATTCGTTTGGGTCTGTACTTTGCAAATAGAACAACATTTTATTCTCATTAAAATATGACTATTGCTGCATATGCGTATGAAACAAATGAAGCAAGAAGAGCACATGAACTAGTAAACGAAAGCTCAACTTTAACCATTGAAGGCAATGATTTAGTCATTGACGATGGAAAAACTAAAAAAGTCATTGATTTCGATACTTTTAACACTTATGACCCATTCATTACAACAAGCAAGGTTCCCATCATAAATGATGGAACGGTGCAATATATAAATTCTACAGTAGATGCCTCATTAGTGAAAGTATTAAATGTTCTCATTGAATTGTTAAAGAGCTTTCGGTTTGACGACAACATTAAATGCCTAAAGAATTTAGTCATGAATGAGAAACAAATTCTCGGCGTTGCTGGTAGCAGTAATGATGTACACCTTATGACATTAGAATATTATAACGAACATAAAGATGAACTGAAAGGAGAGAAGGGTGACACCGGACCTCAAGGACCACAAGGAATACAAGGAATACAAGGAATACAAGGACCTCAAGGCGAGAACGGTTTGGATGGTGAAGATGGAAAGGATGGAAAAACTGCTAAATCATGGATATGGAACCTTATAAATACTGGTTTAACAGCTGCTTCATATGGAGTTCTTCAATACCAAATCGGAAAGATATGGGCAGTACTTGGTGAAGAAGTTTTAGATGACGTTAAAAATGCTTTGAACTTCATTTCAAATGGTTCGGATACTATTAAAACTTTATCTGGTTGGATGCAAGAAACAAGGAGTCAAATAGATACTGTAAGACGTATAGCAAACAATGCACGTACGGGATTGGATACTTTACGAGAAGCACAAAATACACTAAAGGAAGCAAATGATATTCTTGGCTCAGTATCAGACATGCATGAAGATTGGCTTAAAGGTATTGACAAATCTTTAAAAAATCACAGTCAGTCTATTGCTGACTACAAGAAAAGTATAGATTTTTTACATAGTGCTATGGACGTACATGATGGAAGCATAAGGAACTTACTTAATGCTAACAATAACTTACCAGGAACTATTAAAGCATTTATAAAGTCCTTTGTAAAACCTGGTGCTCTAACATTTAGGTCTTTGAGAGCAAGAGCATTGAAGTCAAGAGATGCAGAAACTCCAACAGAACCTACAGAAGGAACTGAAACAACAGAAACTCCAGAAGAACCACCAAAACCAACAGCTAATGAAATATTGTTCGAATATTTTCCAAGGTACTCTGTTCTCATTGCATACATTCAAGAAATACTTAAGAAAGCAGACTTGACTTTAGGAGATGATGAAAGTTCTGTATATCTTTCGTTCCAGTTTCAAATAGCAGAACTTTTGAGACAGATATGCTTAATGTATGACAACATCTCTGATTTCACAAGATATGATGACGACCATGACCCCGAACACGGTGAAGAAGAAGTTTTACAAACATCCATTAAGACAGGAAAGGTTTTAACTCAAAGTCTCATTATTGACACCAAAGATGGCGAAGTGGACGTTCTTCAAGAGCTGAAGAAAAATACTTCTTCGGGAGGTGGTGGTAGGCATGAACTTGAAATAAATGAGATAGAAGAGAAATTAGCCGAAAAAGCAGATAAAAACCATGTTCATTATATAAGTTCAGACGAACAGATTATAACGGACTACCATGGATATTTAACACAGGATGAACAAATAAGCACTGAAGATGTTAATGAAAGAAGATATAAATTCATTCGTGCTAAAGGTTATGACATACACTGTACTGTACAGTATGACACAGGTAAAGCACCAGAAGCATTTGGTTATAACAATGAAATTTATGCTTCATACTTCTTTGTTAACGGTGTATTAGTTGAACCAAGATTTACATTAAGAGTTAAGGCAAAAATAACTTTTGAAGATGCTATTAAAAGTAAAGCTGACAAAGATGAACTTGACGCAACGAACAAAGTTTTGAAATCTCATAAACACAATATCTCCGATATAAATGAACTTCAAGCTACATTAAATAGTAAAGCTGACAAGAACCATACACATGAATCCTTCACTACTGTTAGAGCAGACGACATAATATTGAACTATACCCTTGGTTCAAGTGCACCTTTAGAGAATCCAAGTACAAGCGTAAAAGATACACTAAACTCCTTAAATAGTAAATGTATGAACATTGAAGGTCATGTCAGAAACTTTGAAACACATGAACTACCAGCAATGTTAGATAAGAAAGCAGACAAAAATCATACACATAACTCCTTCTCAACTGTTGCTATAGAAAGTATTGAAGGAACGGTTGGCGGAACTGGTGGGGAGGGCGGAGTCACGTCGCACGCGGCTGCATTATATTATAAACCTCCTAACTTTCCACAAGGTTTAACTTCAAATGAAAACATAACAACGAAGAAAGAAATTAGCTGTAAAAATGTTTATGTCATGGACGATGAAAATAATGTTAAATTCACTGCTCAAGATTTATATGATAATAAAGCTGACAAGAACCATACACATAAATCCTTCACTACTGTTAGAGCAGACGACATAATATTGAACTATACCCTTGGTTCAAGTGCACCATTAGAAAATCCAAGTACAAGCGTAAAAGATACTCTTAACAATTTAGATAACAGTTGCAGGAATATCGAAGATCATGCCAGAAACTTTGAAGCATATGAACTACCAACAATGTTAGATAAGAAAGCAGACAAAACAGAGCTTCAAACATTAAAGACAGAAATACTTCAAACATTATATCCTATAGGCTCTATTTATACGTCAATGAACTCAACAAATCCAGCAAGTGTTTTAGGTTTTGGTACGTGGAAGCAGATTGTAGACAAATTCTTATACTGTGCTAGATATTCAAAGCAAACAGGAGGTTCGAAGAAAATTAAAGAAGCAAACCTTCCACCGCACACTCATACAGGAACTACAAACACAACAGGTAATCATTCACATTCAATAACAAAAAGAGGTTATACAAATCTTGCAGCGGGTTCGGATAGACAGGGAATGAATAGAAATGATATTTCAACTGACCCAGTAGATTCAAACGCAGGTATTTTCTGTGGAACCACAGGAAATCATTCACACACTTTCACAACAAATCCAACAGGCTCGGGTGCAGATTATATGCCACCATTTGTGACTGTATTCGCATGGTACCGTGTTCAATGAAATCTTTAACTTTACATAAATGAGCTTGAAAGAAGTATTCGAACAACATCCATGGAGGTCATTTAAGAAGTTCAATGAAGCAGCAAAAAGTTGGGGATTTACTAACAGTAGAGATGTGAAAACTTAAATTTTATAATCCCTGGGATGCACTTTCTTCGATTTTTTTTAAATTTTTGGGATAAATTTTGACATCTTTTTTTTTGCTGGCGACCCCCCCGTTTAGGGCATCAAAAAAACATGTTGTTTCGTTTCAAGATCGGGATATGTTGTGAACCCGACTTCTTTCATTAATGAAGTGATTTCTTAAGTTGAATAAAAACAAATTTGATTGAAATTCATACAAAATTTCTTTTTATCATTATTATTTAAGATGCTTTTTTATGTTGAATTGTTAATTTTTTTATTTCCACCTGGGATATTTTGAATTGGGCTAGCCCAATCCCACCTCTCAATTTTCTCTCAATTGGGCAATGGGGATCCCATATAAAATGTATTGTAACAAAATTTTACATGCATAATATAGTACAATTAAACAACATTCTAAAAATATTAAATTCACATCATTTACTTGAAGATTTTATATTTTCAACAAAAATTAATACAATAATTACATTAAATTGAGGAGATTTATAATATTTATTATAAATTAAAATATTATTACTCATTAATTTGTTGAAATATTGCATTTTAGTGGTAAAAATTAAAATTTAAGTTTACATGGAGAAAAAAAAATTTTAAATTCCAAAAAAAAATTCAATTGGGATAACGATAGGGACAAAAATTTAGAATCCCCATATGCTTGGGATAAAATCACATGACTACTAACAGAGCTGAAGTGAAAAAGTTCTTTGACAAAAATGTTGTACATCAAACAAAAATAAACCCTTACGACTACTTTTTACCAATTTACTCCAACACTCCTGACGCATACCAATTTGACACTCTCATTCAAAGCAGAAAAGGAGGACATAAACCATTCCTCATCTTCATTAATGTTAACACTCGTAAAGCATATGCATATCCAATGAAAAATAAAGGAACTCGTGAAGTTTTAAGAGTTTTGCAGACGTTCTTAGCAGAACATAGCCCAAGTACTTTAACATCAGACCAAGACAGTGCATACCTCAGTAATGAAATCACAGATTTTCTCATTAAGCATAACATAACTCACTACACTACTGAAGACCATAACCATAACATACTCGGTATCATAAACCGCTTCATAAGGACTCTCAGAGATTTAAATCAAGAGCGAGACTTTACCGAAGAAACAATGAAACATTTTCTTGAAGTATATAATTCCTCAACACATTCTACAACAGGACATACACCAAATTCAATGACACAACAACAAGAAGAAAAGTATATACAAAAGAAACGAAGCCAAACACAAAATATCAGAAATTCAACACAATTTACCCTCATTCCTGGTACAAAAGTTCGTGTAGTTCTTGACGACAAACCGTTGACAAAGAAACGTTTAAGGTTAAGTCGAAATTATTATATCGTAGACTCTACGCAAGGTAATGGATATCTTATAAAAGCTGCTGACGACTCCATTGCATTTTACCCTCGACATAAATTAGTCGAAAGTAGTAATGGCAAACTTGCTGAAACCATTGACGAAGCAAAGCGAGGAGTGGTTATTGAAATACTTGGCTATAACACAAACGATGACACTTATAAAGTAAGATATGAAGGAGGCGTTGAAGATGTTATACCATCTAAGAACTTGAGAGAGTCGAAGCCAACACATCTGGGACCATTAGAGCGGGAGTACTGGAAAGACAAAAATATGCCAGAAAGAATAAGAAAATTCTTCTAAACTTTTTCATTAGATGTAAATCAGACATGAACGAGAACAGTCATGATATCATTAATGGTACCATTTATTTTAACATAAAGACGCAAAGCGGCGGGGCATAGCCCATGACCTAAATTTATGAATTTTCATGTATTTTCTCAAGATAGAAAAAATAACGCTAGTTTTATTTTTTTCTAACTTTTTATTTTGTATGTAAAGACAGTAATGTCAACATCAGAGAACACAACAACAGTTATAGTCCATGAAGCTATAAATGAAGAATACGAGTACATACAGTATAACAAACAGTTACGTCTCATTCGTTCAGTCAAAGACGATATGTACCAAATGCAAAGTATAATGAATGCTCTTCGTTCTACAAAGCAAGCATATCATTGGTTTGAAAACCAACAGACAAAAGAACTTTTAGAAGAATTTCCTCATATGATTGCTTCCCTCGGAAAACCGAGGGAAGAGATTCCGTACGAAAATCGCAAGAATTTGGCTCCTGGTTTGAAAGGTTATTATGTTCATAGACTTTTAGTAAACGCTGTAGCAATGTGGGCTTCACCTCGTTATGCTTGTTATATTTTCATGATGTTAGATGAACTATATAAAGCAGAACGTGGAGAGTTGGAAAAGAAACTTCAAGCAAAAGATGAAGTCATTGAATCCAAAGACAAAAGCATACAGAAAAGAATACCGCGTTCAGTACCAAAAGGAAAGGAAAAGAGTTATAAGTATATGATATATACTGAAGAGTTGGAGAAAGAAGAAGATAAAGATATGGTTATGTTACATTTAGTCAGAAGAAACAACAAGAGCTTTTATGACTTAGCTAAGATATATAAATCTGACAGAAACTGGTTCTATCGTGAAAACTTACCGATTTCAATGACACCGAATGAACAAATAAAGGAAATTGTCAAAAATACTCTTCCTCAAACACACTATGACATCAAAGGTTGTACAATACTTACATTCAAAGAAGACTTAACATTACTGAAGGAAAAAATAACAGAATATTTCGACAACTTCAAAGAGGAAGAATGAAAAAAATCTAAGCTAATTTTATTTTTTTTATAAAATTTTATCTCATATGAAAGAACATGAACGTGAGATATGTTATGGTTATAGAGATTCTCCATACGAACTAGACCAATGGGAACAAGAAGATTTAAAGAGAGAATTTAGAGAATATGAACTCGCTAAGATAGCATTAGAAGCTGCAGAAAAGAAGTTAAAAGTTTGGGGTCGTTTTGTACAAAAATATTGTGAGTAAATGAACCATTTATTTTTGTCATAAACGACCAAAAATATATTTTATCGTTAATGGTTTTTAGGTGTCACCACGTCACCATGTCACCAGGTTAATTAACTTCTTTAAAAAATGATGACAACATGACATTTTGACAACATTCCCGGAAATATATTTTATCGTTTATGTTTACGTTAATGTTTCGTAAATGTTTTCATGAATGTTTTCAGTGTCACCACGTCACCATGTCACCAGGTTAATTAACTTCTTTAAAAAATGATGACAACATGACATTTTGACAACATCACTGGAAATTTGATGCAGCCCAAAAATAAAGTTAGTTTTAAAATTATTTTTATTTTTTTATTCCTATATAAATGACAGCAACAAACAACAACAGCAACTATATTGTTTCTGATGAAAAAGTTATTGATTCATTAGCTGAGGAATTAGTTGTGACAGAAACTAAAACCCTCAACGAAAGAATTGGTGAAAACAAGATTGATTTACATAACTACCTCAAACATGATGGAGGAAGAGGAAGGAAAACTGCTATGGCTTTATTAGTAAATAAAATTCCAAATTTAACGATTATAGATGTTGATATCAATAAATCATACAATGATGAACTTAAAGAAACAGTTAGAAAAGATATTTTATCAAAACTTTCGGATAAAGATGTTATCGTTAAAACCGCTTCAGGAGGTCTTCACATTTATTGTAACACTAATTTCTTCTATTCAGTTTCGAACAGAATGATTAAATGCTATTCTTGCAATGATTATGATATTGATATAATGACTTCTATGGATGATTCAAAGCGTTCTTTAGTAGTTATGGCTGATTCAAGAGTTCGCAAGAATGCAACAGAACCAATCAATACATACTCATTCATTCGTGGAAGTTACGATTCAACATTAACCAGAACAGTGAATGATATATTAAATGATTTGAATATTAAGGTAAGAGTTGAACAGAAGAACGAAGAAATAAAGACTATCATGAATGAAAACAAAGATGTAAACATTGACGATAAACTTGCCCAGAGCATAGTTGATGGCATCAGTGATTTTGAAGTACATAATGACGGTGGAAACATGAATTTAGAAAAAGAAGTTACATTATTCACACTGTTTCAAGCAATTAATTCGTTACCTAATCATTTAATTAATGAAGCATACGATAACGTTTATAACTTCTGCAATTTAACTGAAAATGCAAAAAGTAATTTTGAAAAAGCACGTAGTAGATATGCACATTTAATGACTTCTCCATTTGTTTTGGTGAAGATTCTAAAACTATATCAAAAGGAATATTATGATGAATACGTTTTACCTTTATTACGTAAGCCAAAAATAACATTTGATATAAAACTTGATGACTAGTTTTTGATAACAGATATTAGACGCAAGGCTGAAAATCATCAGTATAAAAACAGTTCTGAAGTAATTGAGGATTTATCACGTGTAATCCGTTTTGTAGATTGTGGAAACAAATACTTCATTCAGAAAGATTACAACATACACGACAAAATGAATCATATATCATTCGTTCTTCAATCAAACATGAAAGAGTCACTCAAAATGATTAAATTATTTAAAGAAGAAGGTAAAACCATAACAGCATGGGACGTACTACTAAATCAATTATCCTCATTAACCGTTAAGGGTGTTTGCTTTAAATCTGATTCCCCAGATGTTTTCTCAACGTTTCAGGGTTATAAATACAACATTCTCGAAAAGCCTGATTACTCAAAAATTGAGATGTTTATGAATTTCATTAAAGAAGCCATTTGTGATAATAATGATGAAGTGTATAAATACCTTCTCGGCTGGATTGCATCAATGATTCAACATCCTGGAATCAAGAATGAAACAGCAATTATTTTGAAAGGACTTCAGGGAACAGGTAAAAACAGATTTACAGACATTATTTCTGAACTTCTCGCCGGTTATTCATGTAAAAACATTACCGAAATAAGTGAGCTAACGGGTAATTTCAATTCAGTAGTTGAGAATAAAATGTTTCTTGTACTTAATGAACTCAAGAATGTAGGTGAAGATAGACTCGCAAACTTCAACGCTTTGAAATCAATTATTACGGATAATGAGATTAGAATTAATGAAAAGAATCAACCAAGAAGAACTGCTCAGAATGTTGCCAATTTCATTTTGGTAACTAATAACGTCTACCCTGTCAAAATTGAAGTTGGAGACAGAAGATACGTAGTTTTAAGAGTTAATGGTAAATTCAAGGGTCAATTTGATTACTTCAAGAATTTGATGGATTCATGCACTAAGGAATTTTATGATAATTTACTGACGTATTTTATGCAATATGACCTTTCATCATTTAATGTACGAATCATACCGATGACTGAAGCCAAACAAGATTTAATAGAATTATCAACAAATCCTTTAGATGAATGGATAAATACACATTATGATGAATTGTGTGCAGGTATGACGTGTAAAAATGCTCTATTCTGCAAACCATCAGACATGAAAGACAAGAATTTCCAAATGAGCATTAAGGATAAATGTGATAGGAAACAAAGAAGAATAGATGGTAAACAAACATGGTGTTATGTTTTGAAAGAAGAAATGAAAGGATTATATAAACAGGTTGAACCAAACGATAATGAGGATTCATTTACTGACGATGAAATACCTGTAAATGAAGCTTTATAAAGTATGATTGGAATTTATTTTTGCATTAATCCTGCTGTGATGTCAAAATGTCATGTTGTCAGTAATTTTAAGAGAAGTTAATTAACCTGGTGACACATGGTGACGTGGTGACACCATCAGTTATTCAAAAATAAATTTTCTTATAAAGCTTCAGGGTCTATTTCTTCAACCATTTCACTTTCTTCGTCAATGTCAATAGAAGCTTCTTCAACCTTTGGTAAGAATTTCTGTATAACATCTTTGTTCGTTATTGTCTTCAGAGATGAAGGATAATATTTCACATTTGTTTCACCCTTCTTATATTCTTTCTGTTCGGAAAGATTTAAAGCAATACTGAAGAAGTCAATGTTAGAGTTCTTTATGACAGTATAATGAGTATCTTTGACATTCACGAAGAAACTCTTTTTGTTTCCAAAACTACTGCTAACTCTTGTGAAGTATAACGTTTGCGGTCAATGACGATAGCTAATGGTCTGACATACTGACCAAACTTAGATTCTTTCACAAACTTCTTGTTAAAGATAACATTAACATTTGAAGCATTATTGAACTCATTCTTGATGGCAGTAGCGAGAGCATTGTATGAAAAGAACTTGCAAATCTTGCATGTGTTTCATTAAAATAAAATATTAAATTATTTTGAAAAATAACTTTAAAAAATCTAATCTAATTTTTTCAAAAAAATATTTTTTTATTTCCTACTAAAGATGTATCGGAAGTTGTCTAAGTTTGAACACTTGGAAATAAAAACTTCTTACAGAAAGCTAATATAGATGTTGCAAAGCATTACGCAACAAACAAAAAAGCACTCGCTGACATCCTCAATGACTATAATGGTGCAATAAGTTATGATAGAAATTCATGAGTTCATAAAGCCGCAACGCGGCGAGGACGAAGTCCATGCAAGAGCATTTCCTTTAAATGACGTTGCTATTGACTTATATCATAGACGTTCAGTACCTCATGAAGTAAGAAGAGAAATGTTTGACATAACAAATGCAAACGTTGGTGAAACAAGAAGAAGAGACGACACACTGAAACAACAGAGAAGAGAGATGTTTAAAAGTGCTATAGAACAAGTTCGCAAAGCTAACGATGTCATTCGTTCCATTGACGACAAACCAAAAGAAGGTGAGAGATGGTTAAAGAAAGATGAAGAGAATAGGAAGAGAAATGTGAAGTCAGGCAATAGACTCATTGACTTTAACATCGAAGCTTTAGATGAACCAAACAGAGACTACTTACACAAACATTTCGGTAAGGTTTTCATGAGACTCTTAGAGAAAATTAAAATAAACTCACAACAGAGATGGATGGTATGTTATAAACTTGGTGGAAAGTATGAATGTTCTACGTTAAACCTCAATAATATTGGAACATTACTACATCAGCTCTTGAAGGAGAACTTTATATCAGAGATAGAAGCAAATGCTGCAGGTATTGTTGAAATGCACTATGACTTCTTCTTGACAAACATAAAGAATCTTACTGAAATAAAGATGTATGATTTAACTGAATATGAAGGCTTAACGATGTCAGATGTAAAGAAAGGCAAACCAAAAAAGAGACCTTATAGAGATGAAAGCACACTGACAAATGACCAGAAAGCCATTTTGGAAGCTCTTAAGCAAACAGGAAACCCAGCACTTATAGAAAGCTTTTGGAAAGATAATGGTGAAAGAAGTTTTATAAGAAGAGAAGCGGTCAGTTCTGGAAGTATCTTTGCACATTACCTATAAATCTTGAACGCTACCAAATCTTCAATGAACTGAACAAAAGAACTGCAACACTTATGACAGAAGATAACTGCTTCGTTTATGCTTGCATTCAGGCTGGAGTAAATGAAGAAACTATTGACCACATGAGAGAAGTCATTCGTGTTAGAGACTTTCCTCAAAGTAAAGTACAAGAAATTTCTGACGCAACTGGTATAGCATTTAATGTTACCATTGGTTATTTCAATGACTCAAGACATAATGAAATAAAGAGATATATACCAAAAGAATGTGAAACTGTTCGAACTATTGACTTACTTCTTGTTGAAGACCACTACATGCTAAATGAAAGATTACCAATGACAACATATTTCATTCGCAACTATATAGAAATCTTGAAGGAGTGTGGTGGAATGAACATTGAGAAACAGATGAAGATTTATACAAAGAGAGAAGATAAATATGTAGTTCGCATGGATAGAACTACACCGCTATGGGATGTTATGAAAACATTGTGGGAGTGCAAATATTTCGAACCTATTTCTTATGGAGAACTTTTCACATATACGACTGACTTATATAAACAGAACCTTGCACCATTTAAAGATTTGACATATGCTCCAAAGTATTGTGTACAACTGAAGAAGAAAGCAGAGTCAAAAGAAGTAAATAAAGCTAAATGTAAGTTCATTCCTGAGCATGTTTTCTTTGCTGACTTTGAGTGTAGCACAAACGGCTTTCATAAAGCTTTTAACATCTGTTACGACAGTGAAGATGGTTCAGTGAGTGAAAGCATATGGGGTCAAAACTGTGCAACATAATTTTTGGAGCGACTTCCTGACAAGAGTTTAATATATTTCCATAACCTCAGCTATGATATAAACTTCATCTTAAGACACATGACAGAAGTGAAAGGAACTCCCATCATTAAAGGTTCACGAACAATGCAAATAACTGGTTTATATAAAGGACGGGCAATTATTATAAAAGACTCTTACAGTGTTATAAATAAGAAGCTTAAACTATTTCCTGCTATGTTTAACTTACAAACAGGACCGAAAGAAGTATTTCCATATAACTACTACAGCAGTACTTTGTTAGCAAATGACAACAGAACTGGTGTCATTTCTGAAGCATGTAAGTTTGTCCAGGATGCAGATACATTTATGAAAAACATAGATTCCATCAAAGGTTGCAGAATAGATGAAAACCATTTCGATTTAGAAAAATATAGCTCATTTTATTGCAAACAAGATGTAAGAATTTTAAGAGAAGGTTTTGTTAAGTTCCGCAATGACATATTAAAAGAATTTGATTTAAACGTTTATGACTACGTTAGTATTTGTTCAATTGCTAACAAATTATTTGAGAACAGAGTGTACTTCCCGAATGGAAATTTATATGACCTCTCAAATAAACCAAGAGAATTTATTTCGAGATGCATTCAAGGTGGAAGATGTATGTTGTCAGATAACATGAAACAAAAGAGCGAAAAGAAACTCATTGCTGACTTCGACGCTGTTTCATTATATCCATCAGCTATAGCAAGACTTTATACTTTAGAAGGAATTCCAAAGGTTATGAAGGATGAGATGCTAAGCACAGAGTATCTCATGAGACATTTATTCGATGACGACCAAAAGGAACCCATTGGTGAAAAGTTTATGTCTGGCTTCTTTGTTCTCATTAAGATAACAGAGATTGGAATACATAGACACTTTCCTTTAATAGTTTGTGACCCTGAACTAAATCCAGAACTTAACGTTCCCAGAAGTTCAAACACTTGCTGTTTAATGTATGTTGACCATATAACATTACAAGACCTCATAAAATATCAAGGTGTCAAATGTGAAGTGTTGCAAGGATACTATTACGATGGAAACAGAGATATTAGAATAAGAGATGAAGTAAAGAAGTTGTTTGAGTTAAGGTTAAAGTATAAGAAAGAAGGAAATCCTTTGCAAGAAAATATAAAGCTCATTCTGAACAGTATTTATGGCAAAACGATTCTATCTCCTATTGAGTCAAAAATAACCATAGTAGATGACAAAGATGCTATAAGATATGCCATCAGAAACTACAACCATGTAGTGAAGTTCGAAGGTTTGGATGGTTCAGATAAAACTATTTTCAAGCTAACGAAAAGCATTTGCAGACACTTTAACTTCTGTCCACTTGGTGTTAACATTCTGTCTATGTCGAAGAGAATAATGTGTGAAGTATTCTGTACTGCTGAGGACATGGGTCTTCAAATATTTTACCAGGACTGTGATAGCATGCATATTTTCAATGAAGACATTCCAAAGCTTGCAGCAGAGTTTAAGAAGAGATACGGTAGAGAACTTATTGTTAAAACATTAGGTCAGTTCCATTCTGACTTCGCAGAAATAACACCTGGAAAACAAAGTTTAGCATACAAGTCAATATTTTGTGGAAAGAAGACCTACATTGACTTACTCACTAACGATTTAAATGAAGTTGCATTCCATGCACGTTGTAAAGGTGTCAAACAAGACGTCCTTGCTTTAACAGCAAATGAAATGTTTCCTGAAGCTATACAATGCTATTACAATGAAGATAAGAACATTCACATACCTGTTGGAACATATGACAAAGACTCTGAGTTCAGTTTAATGAAACTTTACAAAGCACTTTATGACGGTCAAGAGATTGGATTTGACTTATGTAATCATGTCAACCTTGCTTTGAAGAGAAGTTTAACTTCTCAATAACGACTAAAACAAGCTTTATTCGTAAGTTGAAGTTCTGAGGTCATTTATTTTTGTCAGCAATGAGGTCATTCGTGATAAAAATAAGCCGCTAGCGGCAAGGGCGAAGCCCATGTGGTCATTTACAATACTGCGATGGTAGAGTTTAAGAGTTGTGCTTCAATGTAGAGACAGTCCTTATGGTCTGGAGGTAAGAACACTGGGCAGTTATGGTCATGAGTGGAGAACATGTCTATCCAAAACTCACGATTGAAGCCAGTTAATTTATAGTATTTAGGGTTAGGAAGTGGTGAAGTTCTTGTATGACCAATGAACTCATTTTCAACTCCCTTACTTAAGTTTGAATATAATATAGCTTGCTTTCTATTCCAAATGCCAGGTGTTACAATCTTTGAAAATTCATTTTTCCTCGGAAGCATTGCATCATAATTGAAAACATTCTTGAAATCATCACTTGGTTCAGAGATTTGAAATCTTATACGTAATGGATTTTCTTTCTCTTTAGCGACTTCATTGAATGGTGAGAATACAACAAACTGACAGTCATGTGTTAGAG